GTAGTGCTCGTCCTGGTCGAGTCAGGGCGGAATTGCTCCCCGGCGATCGTGACATCCGGCACCGACTTACACGCCGCCTTGCAGCGATCCTCCCCTGCAGGTACTTCCCCTAGCAAGGCACTACCGAGCCGAGGGAGTTCTAAGCTGGTTATATCGTGCATGTAAGTGGTGTGTGTCTGTGTCTATAAGGACAAAGAACGGGACGCAGCGAAAGGAAAGATCGCGCACGGTCCACGGTCTGATTTTCAAAGCGGCTCCAAACATTGGGCATTCGCCGAACAGCGAGCTACTGCTTGCCCAATCCTGAACAGCTGACGTGTTCAGCGAATGTTCGCTCCCTTTGATATGTGCTGGAGACCGACACGCGATTGGTAGGGCGAGAACCGAATGTTCGTCACTCGGCAAGTAGCGAGCAACTCATCCACACTACTCGGGATACGACGAGAGGTTGCTCGCTACTCACCGAAGAACGAATGTATGGAGCCACCTTTAGGGTACTTCTCCGGCATTCGCGTGGTATTGGTCGGGGAAACCACGGAAAACTACTAATGAGAAGAGCCAGCTGCTAGAATGTTCCTCCAGGTATCAGATGAATTCGACCTAGCTATCTAGTGAGTGTCGAACATTTGCCTCCGTCGGGACTCAAACCTGAAGACCTCCCTGGCAGAGAAACAACGGCAATGCTGCCTCTGAGCCAATTCAGCCGGCATCCACTTCTTCATAAGCAGGGCTACAGCAACCCAAAGTCTCGGAGCAAACATTTCACGCAAAGTGATCGGCATCTGAACATTGATGTCAGGAAGCGCTGAATGATTCGTCTCTGTTAACATGATCAGACCCACCTCGGTGTTCTCATTCATCCACTCGAAAGACGTTGGTGCAGCGGCGGAACTAGGAAGGGGCGGGCACAAAAAATATCCTCAACCTCTCTCCCATTGATGTGTTAAATAAGTTTGGAAGGACCCTTTGTTCCCTCAGGTAACCGAATAATACTAGCTTTGATCAACGGTGGTTCTCTTTCATTTTCGTTTCTTGTGCCGCCTCCTGATGTTCTTTGTTGCAACGAAAGAAGCCTCCCTCCGAAATGCGATAGGTGGACTGTTAAGTGGTTCATTTACGATAAGTATTTTTGGGGTGCCACAAAAATAATATTTTCACAATTATAATCGAAATCCAGAACAAAATTTTACAACGCGTGAATAAAATTATATTATTGAATGTAGAACTTCGGTTATTTTATTACGCTACAAACTATTAATACTAAAATTGACATGAAAAATATAATTCCTACACAAGACTAATTTTCCTAAATAAGATTTCATGTGGAGACAAGCCCGAGTTCTTACTTACTAACTTACTACGACTGAAATAACTTGCGTTTAGTTTTCTGGCTTGCGTTTGCTTACAACACAAAGATCATCTCTGAAGGGTTCTTTACCTTCATGAAACATCACATACTTCAATTTCATGTCTTAACTATAAGCTGAACAAATGTTTGGTAGCACGGAAACCAACAAACGAAGATAGCCTGTTCCCTTGTTTTTATTTGCTTGAATCTGATTCGGCAATCCCAAAGATTTCGTGTTGGTCGCGCCGCTTCAGCCGGGTCCTGCGGGTGGTGGTGGTGGTGGTGACGGAGGCTCACCGCGCAGAAGGATTCGGGGGCGGCGGGGGCGGCGGCGGAGGCGGCGAGCGGCGCTGGCGGCGGCAGGCGCGCCACTCGGCTCGGGCCGGCGCCGTGTGTGACCACGACGCAGCCGAACGGACCCGCGCCGTCCCAGGTTGCGCGTGGCAGGTAAGGTGCGCCGTCAGCGCACGTGCGGCAGCATTCGCCGCACGCCCCTCCACACCTCGTCCAGCCACGCCGCGGCTGCGCACCCGCCGCCCAGCCCGTGCACCTTCCCCCCCCCCCCACACACACACACACACGCAACGGCCTTCCGCCCCGTTGCGGTGCAACCGATTCGCCCAGCGCCGGGGCATTTCGTGCGGTTCGTTTAAACACGTGCTTGTAAATGGGAAATTATCGTAGGTAATACCGCAAGTGCTGTGGGGATTTTCAATAAATTCCAGACTCGCGAAGCGAGGAGGGGATTTATCTAAGAATTTCCAAAGCAACAATTGCATTTAACAGATCTATTCCATGAGTGAAATTATGTCCAGGAGAGTTCCAAAATGCGTCAAATATTGAAAAGAACTGAAAGATATGTTAAAATGAAATATGTTATGTGTTATTGTACGTACGCGGTTTATTGGAAATCGACAGTGTGATCGATGTACAATACTATCATCCAAGATAGATGAGTAACAGTTTATGATTGGCCAGTAGGTAGAAGCGGTAAGAAAAATCGGATAGAAAAGTGATTAATTTATAGACATACATCGCCCTGATTGGGGAATTTTGTTTGTGTAGTTAAACACTATTTGTTTTAATTTCACGAGTGGAATAGTGAAAGAAAATGCGGTCAGACGAAGCTGAAATTGTTACTTTCTCGCCTTACTACGTAAGAAGAGGTATTATAATCGTGCGTCGGAAATCAGCGAGTTTTCGACAGAAAAACTCTTATTGTTTGTTTTTGTCAGGTTCTTTTAATTTCGGATGTTCATGTGGTTGCTATTGCAAAATTGCTTCAATTGGAATATCAATTTTGTGGAAAAACGACTGAACTGTTTAACCGCTAGCATTGTTCACAGACAGACAGACAGACAGGCGACAGACGGACGGACGGACAGACACACGTTTTGCCGTCATTCGATTTTTCGATATCAAGGACCTACAAAACATGGATTCTGGTTACACCACGTGATTGAGGATTTTTTGAAAATTTAGCAACTATATTTATCCACGTTTTCTTTACCAGTACTCTGTAATAAGAGTTTTTCTGCCAAAATTTCGCCGTTTCTCGTGCAGCATTGCATAACTTTCTTTCTACAGGAGGCATCCACTTCTTCATAAGCAGGGCTACAGCAACCCAAAGTAGCAGAGGAAAGTAAAAAGACAATGCCACGATAGGTTTTTGCAATTAAAAAAAATAACCCTGGAAGGTGGTGCAATTCTGTATTCAGATTTGGATTCAGCGCGCCGACATACCTTGAGAAACATGTGTCAAGTCTTTGGGTCTGACAATTTGTGTGTGTACCCGTGTAATAATATAAAGCAGTCCGCAGACTTGGCTGGATCTTTTGGGTTCGGGTCCTAACCAAGGACCGACCTAGTAAATCCAGATGAATCCATCCAGGACCTGAGAGGTGGCCATTAGCGCGGTTTTTTGCAGCGGGGACAGCATTTCTTGTGAAGGTGTCACTTCTTCATCACTGCTTAAATAAATGTATTCCTTTACGGATTGAAACAGATGAAAATCGTGTGTGGAAAGATCATGACAATGGCATTCACTGTTAACCCAGTTCTTCCAGTATATTGACGGTGCGGTGGTATTTTTTTGGGGGGGATGTTTTTTTCCCAACTCATTTTCATAGCCCTTTTCGGACATTGAGCATGTATGTATCTGGAGTAGTCCTCTGTTAAGTTTTGTCTTGTAACGTCGCAGCTAGGCGCCGTTTGTAACCGGGGTTCCCAGACAGTGACCCGTCCAAGAATCCGTGGGGTCTCGAGCTACTCGTGACTTCAAACCATCGCTAACGACGCATAATCATTGAAAAAGATCAGCCTTTATGATGACACCTGAACACCTTTACTAGATGCTTGGATGTCTTTTAGAACCTGGCAATATTCACTGTTTGTTTTAATACCATAGACAGGAAACCTACATAAATAAAACCCAGTCTGTTAAATAAAAACACACTTGCTGTCACTTTACCGGCAGGCGCAGTACTCTGGAACTCTTTAGGTACCTATAAATATCTGATTAATTTTGAGACCTAAAAGTCCAGTTTGGCCTTGAATCAAGTGTAGTTTTAAATTCAATGTCAGTCTCATATATACCTCACAGCATTTCAGAGTTGGGCGACAAGACACTACCCAGCGATTTCGATGAAACAACATTGAGACTATGGACCGCACAATTTCCAATACTCAAGACGCCTCACTATCGGACAATCACTTTACTTTCGCCTGAGCCCCGTGACTAATGCCAATGATAAACAGATGAAGTTCAAATATAGTACTTAATATTTCGAAAACGACGTTCGAGCACCATGACATGGTGAGTTGTATGGGAGTTACATGGGTCAAAGTACATTAATTGTTGTATGTTTAATTTCATTTGGTGGCGAAGTAAAATTGATTCCGGTGACCCCCGGAAAATTTTGAATGGGGCTTCGTAGCCTTATGTAATAAGGCAATTTATTTCCGTAAATATGTTCAATCTCTGATAATATTTATGTATCGACACATTTTAAAATGTGCAATGCTGACAAACGGATTAATTCAATAATCTGTATACTGTTACCGTTTCTACATGTTTAAATATTACCCTACGTCGAAAAAGGTTTTAGTTACTAGTCGTTTTTTAAACTTCTTGAAATTATATTAAATTAATTACTCATAAAATATGTTTTATTAGTTTTTTCAAAAAGTATCGAAAATTTGGAAATAGTACATTGAGTTAATCAAGAGTAACAGACGAATTCGGGGCAAAAAACGTTTTAATCAACCACCCAAACTACCAATTCAGACTCGATTGCGCTAGAGATTCTCCTTAAAGTGAGTAAAAAAATCCCAAATCAGCACACAATTGCTAAAAATTTCGAAAAATATATGAAATCTCTCCCAATAATGCGGCCAGGTCGGAGTCGATCGCTCTTACAACTATCCAAAATTACATTTCAAATATTCAAAAACAGACTAGAAATTGCTGAAGTTGTAAATGAAAAATTAATGAACATGACATGTAAATTTTAAAAAAATGAAAAAGGACCAGAAATATAGTTGGCCACTGTTGTTTTAGGTTGCGCATACCTATGTTTACGTGGGATGTCTAGGTATCCTATTACTTTGTATTCGGTGCATTTACCTCTATCACCGGGGATTCTTCTGGACCGAAAACACACTGAGGTGAGGCGAGATGACCGACTGGAGGTAGTTGCTGGAAAGGGCCTCGCAATTTTCCTTCCTGCATGGCAAGGACTAATTGTGAAAGATAAATATTACGACATCGTTTTGCTGCTACTCCCGTTGTTTCACTACATAACCTTTTCAGCCAAGCCTACAACAAAAAATCAAATTTATTTCCGGCATTTTAAAAATAAAAAGCATTTTTAAACGACGTTTTGTACCTGGCATAATTCGACATCATACTTATCAATCAAATTACGAAAAAACGATTTGGTGAATGTTAAATAAAATAGAAAATCTTGATCTAATTTTTCTTCCATGCTGTCACCCTGAAAGGAAAATGTCCATCAAGAGTTGGGTTCGAATCACTTCTATCTGAATATTTGAAGTTGTGATTACCATTGCTGCACTGTCTTGTGCCGACTGAAAGCAAAAAGCTCTTTCGTCTCTAAAGAAGATATCATTCTAATACAAATATCGTTTTTCGAAGACATCGGTGAATTTAGGAAGAGTCCTCATGGTTATTGCTGTGGTGACAACTTTTACTATTACGTTACTTTACTTCGCTTTTCGTGATTGCATTGTTGTTTTAATAATAGCTTATTCCTGGATGTATTGCTTTAGAATACTAGTAACTCATTCTATGAGAGAAACGTAGTACTACAAGGTTTTAAGACCTTTGTTGCACTTAGGTCGGGCACGTCAACATGTCGTTTATTCCTTTCCGTTGGTGCCCCTGAACTCCGAGTTCTGTGGCATATTGGGGATTATTTTCCCGCAGTTTTGATGGCGAAGAAAATGTGCGTCGTTGTTTGACAGGCCTATTCACTGTTTACATATTTACATCAATTGTTAATTTATAGATAAATGTAACATGTGGTTTTTGCATTAATTGCGTAAGATGTATAATATTCGATGAACAATGCTTGTTGAGGGAAGTAGTGTTTTTGATTGAACTGGACTTGCTGACAACCAGCGTTTTCGTATAAAGATTAGTGTTCTGTATGATTTATTCCAGGTAAGATTGTGGTATTGTGCACTTTTGATGTTTGAGTGCGCAATATATGTCGAACAGTATGAGGTTTCCGCGTTCTTAGTGATTGAAGGATGTGTTGTGTGGTAATGTAAGTGTAGGATATGACCCCAATTGGAAGCAGCTTAGTTCGTACTTAACCTAGGTGTTTGTTTAGCGGCGTACACTCATTTAATATATGAAGGAAGATGAAAACGAGAAATCGATTTGCGAGTGAAGTTTTAAGCACATGAATGTATTCAACCTGAGTTTAGTAAACCTAGTGAGTTGTGGTTGGTAGGGATGTTTTTCAGAGCATGTAAAAGTGTTGAAAATCAAAAAAGTGTATAAATTTTCGTTTTACTTGTGTAGAATACATAAGTAATCAAGAGTGGAGATTTAGCTTTGAATGTGTGTTGTTGTTATTGATATGTACTTGTTAAACACATATTTGTAATGTATTTATTTTGTGTATGAATTAATAGAAATCTTTTAAATGGATTTCAGAGTGTGGATGGTCTCATAACCAATCATAGAAATGCCACTTGACATAGTGTATCCTCAGGGGTGCCGTCCTGTTACAGATGATTTAGGGCCTGATGAACTCATTAGGCGACTTAAGGTAGGTAGTGGGAATAATGGATACTTACAAATCCATAACAAGTCATCTAAAGTTGTTTTTGTCTTTTCATGAAATACCATTAATTTAATAATATTGAGTTTTAATATGCTTGGAGGCTCAGTTAGTGTATTTCAATCTATTATTTGCATGTTGTAATAATATTAGTGATCCAAATCATGAAAATATATGTTTAAATATTTAAAACATACTATGTCAAGACACATGTAACTTGTTTTAAGACAAATTATTACTTCAGTGCTAGTTTGTTTTGTGAATTTACAACCTTTGCATATTATTTTAGACTAAATGATCACTTTGAATTTTATGATATACAAGAAGCGTTAACTGCATGAAATGAAATATTATTATTTAGCGTATACAAGTGTGTGAATGTTGAAGCAGTATAAGACAATTATAATATTTCAGAAGAACTATACCTTATGTTGTTCTCAGTTGTTAGCAGTTACAAAATTAATAAGAGATTGAAAATGTGGTCTACTGGATAGGAACACTGGCCTATGGTAATTTTGCATAAGATTGAGCACATTACAAAGGGTAGTTTTGATGTACTGAATTTTAATCAGCAAGTAATGTTTTTATTACATCAGATGCTTTAACAATGTAGACTGAAATTTCCAATGTAATGTAAATTTATCTATTTTAATCATGCTTTTAAATGCCTGAAACACTTAGGTATAAACAAACTTCTCTTCATCATAAATTAATATTGCTTTGATTTGTTTTTTTAACATTGTCTGTTCTGTTGAGAATTCTCATTTAACGAGAACATAATTGTGACAGTGTTAGTTGTTTCTTGTCTTCTGTTGGTTGCTGCCTGAATTAGTTGCAACATACTGTGTTTTTTTTTTAATTGAAAAGTAGATGTTTGGAATTGTGTCAAAATCAGAACCAGTATGTTTTGTTATTAAAAACAGTGTCTGACCGTAGGTATATTTTGTTATTTATTATGATAGCAAGATATATGGAGAGGCACAATTTCTGAAAATAAAAAAGTTTTGTGCTTTTAAATGTTGTTGTTGGGTTGTTGTTTTTTTTTTCCCTTGTAATAAATTATTTATTTCAAACATTGCTGCCTTAGTCCAAACTCTTTTAGATTATTTGAATTAATTTAACTGTGATTGGGAAAAATTATTGTTGATTGGTTTGAGAAAGTGGGAAAAGTGAAAAGAATTGGTTTTCCAAATTTAGTTGCTACTCAATTCTCCAGTAATCTTGTCAATGTAAAGAAACAACATTCCTATTGTATATTTAGAGTTTTTCAATTTTCTTTAAAGATTTGAGAAATTTAGAATTGATGTATTTAATCATTTCTATTAATTTTTTTTAAGTCGTTTAAAACCATGCTAAAAAAATGAAAAACTTATATTAAATTGAAAATTTTATTCTACATTAAAAAAAACAGCAACATGCATTACCCTAAAAAAATACTTGTAGATTTGAATTTATCAAAAATGAATAATGAAACCTATTCACTTTTGTTCTGCAGGAAAAAATTCTGACATGTTTAATTTATTACTGATATTTTTCAAATGCCCCAGTTACTGATTGATTGTCTTCAAATTTTTTACAGACTCTAGCCCATACCTTACAGGCTATGGGACAAGATGAAGGGATGTATCAGCAATACATTCCATTGGCCTTACATCTGGCAGAAGACCACTTTCTTATGCACCAGAGTCGTGATGTGCAATTGCTTATAGCATGCTGCATAGCTGATGTTCTGCGAGTTTATGCACCTGAGGCTCCCTATAAAGATCCAGAACAAGTTAAGGTAAAGTCGTACCCACTCATACTGAAGACATAAAATCAAAAATGAAGTCAAGATTGATAAAAATAATTTCAATAGTGAAGCTCAATTCAAAATATATTTTTCATTAAATAAATTGCTGAAGCTTAATTGAACAAAACTTTTTTTGGTTGCAGTTTTAAAAAGTTGTTTTTTGTTGAATTATGCTGGCTGTTGTCAGTTTCGGATAAAACCGTTATAAATTCTTTCTATATTCCGGTTTGGATACTAGATGCCTTGAGCAACCGTAATGTTATGCGAGTAAAAGATGGATCAGGTAGCTGTCTGAGTTAGTTTGCAACATACTGCTGTTTTTTTAATTGAAAAATTGGCTTAAGTCTAGTATACGGTACAACTTACGAAAGTCATTTAAACTGGCACTTCTCACGGCTCTGGCTGCAACTGCGCAATTTAAATTCTAGGGGCTTTCTTGAAAAGTGCTTTTTTATAAAAGTTATTTGGTAATTATGTGGTGGATTGACTCAAGGATGTTTATGGTGAACGTGAGGGACGAAGGATCGAGCCTTGCTGTGACTTGGATCCAGGCGAGCAAAGCACTTGCCTTTGAAAGTAAATTGGCATTACAATGCAGTGTGGACAAAGCTTATTTAAGGGAGGGCTTGAGGAGACCCCTTCCCCCTCTCCGCTGCCATGCTTTTCTGAGGGTGTACCGTGTGAACCGAAAAATTAGACGTGTTTGGAATTGTTTCAAAACCAGAACCTGTAGGTTTTGCTATTAAAAGCAATCTGCGAACATATGTATATTTTGTTATTTATAATGATAGCAAGATTTAAAGAGTGGCACAATTTGAGAAGATAAGAAAAGGGTTAAATGTATTTAAATCTGTAATTTGTTAGCAATAAATTGTTTATTTCAATCATTACTGCCCTAGTTCAAAGTCTTTTAGATTGTTTGAATTAATTTATGTCTGTGATTGGGAGAAATTATTGTGGATTGGTCTAGGAAAGTGGGAAAGAGGCAAAAAATAGTTTTACAAATTTTGTCGCATTTCAATTGCGATCTGATGCCTCAAAAACAACACACGTTTTTGCCAGTAAGATCAGTGACTGCTAGTCTACTCCCATGCGTAGATCATTGGTCATAGGAATTGAGTAATGGATACCAAATGTGATCTACCTTGACTTTGAAAAAGCCCTGGATTATATACAAGACCATTTAGTTTATAAATGGAATCATATTGGAATAAGAGGAGATTTATTGAAATGGATTAAAGAGTTTCTTAAGAAAAAAAATTAAAATCGTAAGATCACAAGGAGTTAATATACAGGTTGTTAATAGATGTTGATATTTATTGTTGTATTTTAAGTAAAAATACCACTTAACATTTTAGGAGTAGTTTGCTACCCCTTTTCAAGCGCTTATAAAATTCATGTGAAACCACTATATTGTCAAAGAACTTTCGGTGTATCAGTGTTTTTAAACATCCTGGCATGCAGAAATTATATACATTGCGGTTTGTTGCTGAAAGATGTTTCATTTCTACTTGAAGTAGCATATTTTTATACATGGGTATTCTGATATGTTGCAGACTATTTTCCTGTTTCTGATAAAGCAGCTCTCTGGATTGAAAGACCCAAAAGATCCAGCATTTAAGCGCTACTTTTACTTGTTGGAGAACTTGGCATATGTAAAGTCTTTCAACATGTGCTTTGAGCTGGAAGATTGCCAAGAAATATTTTGTGCTTTATTTTCACTGATGTTTAAAATTGTGAAGTAAGTTTTAAATAGTAATTTTAAATATATGACATTACAAATATGTATTCCAATTGTAATTACTGATGTACTTTTTTCTCTTTGCAAATAGTGATGAACATTCTGGGAAAGTAAAGAGTTTTATGTTAGATGTACTCTGTCCCCTGATAACAGAATCAGATATTGTCTCTAATGAGTTGTTGGATATAATTCTTATGAATGTAGTAGAACCAAACAAATCTCAACGGAAGAATGCATATTTATTGGCGAAGGAACTTGTGGTCAAATGTAGTGATACTCTTGAGCCCTATATTCAAACGGTAAGATTTTAATAGTTAAGTTTAGTAAAGTGGTATACATTAGTTTCATAAGTCAGTTTCATCTTTGAATTGAATGTAACGTGTTATTTTGAGCATTTTTTATTGCAATACTCCTGATTTGTTGTTAGTAAAGTTTTTTTGCTTGAATTGTTTTTTAACATAAAAGTTTACTTATTTTCTTACACCAATCCTTTTTGGTTGTTGATAATTTGCTTTATGTGGACATTCTGTATGTTACAATTAACTTCAATAGAATTTTTGAATTATCTTCAGTTCAATTAAGTGTTCATAACTGTTATTTTGTTATTAATTTATTATTGCCATTAATTTATTATTTGCTACTATTCTAGTTTTTCAACCATGTACTCATTCTGGGTAAAGAAGAACGGGAACTGGGCATTTGTGGGAAGGTTTATGATCTGATTTATGAATTAAATCATATATGCCCTAGTGTTCTTCTGGCAGTTTTGCCTCAGTTAGAGTGCAAACTGAAAAGTTCCCAGGAAAATGAACGTTTGGGAGCTGTAGCTTTGCTAGCTCGCATGTTCAGTGAACGAGATTCAAATTTGGCCCGGCACCATACACAATTGTGGAAAGCTTTTCTTGGGAGGTAAGGATAATAGCGAGTGAAAAGAAGTTCTGCCTTTTTGTAATGAATTCCTTTCTTACATTTTGTCTTTGATTTTTGTGCATTGTAATTTTAATTTTGATTTGAGTAAGGCAAGGATTTTCACGAATTAAAATTTGCCAAACAGTGCAAAATACAATATGATTATAATCTGAAACAAGGCAAAATGTTCCGTATAAGATATAAAATATGAAGAGTACAGGGGATGGGAGCCTAAAATATGAAGGTTCTGAAAAGATCTCAACCTTTTGGAAAATCCTGTTATTAATTTTAAAAGCAAACAACTAATCCATCCCAATTAGTTTGATGTTCCTTTTTTTGCTGAAGGCATAGAATAAATTCCTGAATGGCAATGTGGAAGTGTGAATGAAAATTCCTCAAGAAGCCAAAGTGGTGTATTGGTTTATTACTTTAAGTATCATGAAGTGTATGACATTGCTACAGAAGCTGTGTAATGTTGTTAGTACGTATCTTCCCCCCTCATTCTAATAGGGGCTCATAGAGCTGAGTTAAAAGTTTGCAAACTAATTATTCCTGCAATAGTTGATTACTTTCCTAGTGGTGCCTTTGTGCTGTTTTGCGGTCTGTAACTATTAACATTAATTAGTACTTGTTTGAAAAGTCCTGCAGATACCTTAACTTCATTCACTGTAGATAAAACGTAGTGTGAATCAACTTCTTGGTTTCAAAATTTTTGAGGAAAGTAAAATTTCATTCATCACAAAAATGAAGACATTTTCTTCGTATGTTATGCGGAGGTGTTAATGATTGCAATATTGCTGTCATACAAGTACATATGAGTGAATGTCTAGTGCCTTGCACATTTAACAACATCAGGAACAATCATAACTATTACACACTTGCATCCTTGTACATTTTTACCTGCTGCTTTATCTTGAAATAATCTGGTTTGTGTATATTACATTGTTGAATGTTATACATAAAATGTGTACAGACAAACTTGAAAAAAAGTATTAAAAATAATCACACTACTTTTGAGATGTGAGTAGGTTCACATATGTAAATTCAGGAAAATGAAAGCAGCTTACTAGTAGAGATACTAGTTTTCTCGTGGGTTTGGTGATAACACTTGCTTTGTCCACATATAGTTTCTCAGTGTAAGATAATTTCAGATGGTAGTGGATGATCTTCAGTTTTTATACTGGATTTTCAAAGGATTTTGATTCTTAGGCCTAATAATACAACTCCTGCCTTAACTGACAACCTCTCTCTTCCACTGTGCCGTTTGGAATAGCTCTTGAGCACCTTCGATGGCCAACATTTTTGTATGAAGTCTCTCACTCACTGTAATTCCCCGTCTCTTTCTGTGGCCGCAGCCACTGCTGCTGCCTTATTGAGGAATTCTTGTGTGAGTTCCCACTCTTCAGTGTCAATTTGAAAGCATGCCTCTTCTAATGCATCAAATTGTATATCAGGACCACGTGATAGTTTTGACAATTCATCTGCATTTGTGTGTTTAGTTGATCTCAAGTAAATTTGATAGTTATAATCTGTGAGAATCAACATCCACCTCTGGAGCTTCTTAACTCTGCAAAATCCTGGAACCTTCTGTAATTTTCCTGGATGAAACAATTCATACTTGAACCAAGACACTGATCTTAAAAAATTCACACTTGGACCAGTTTACCTTTAACCCACTTCCTCTTAGTGTGTCCAACAATCTTCTGTCTATATACTCGTGAGGCATAGCACTCATTACCACAATATCGTCTTAATTGTAAATATATCCCTTGCATTGTCTCATTATCTGTTTTGAACAACATTGAAATATAGTGGCTGCCGACATTACTCCAAATCTGTGTAGTCTGTTAAATCAAAACAAGCCTAATTGAATATTCATCACTACAATCTGTTTTGATTGTGCATCTAAAGGTAGCTGTAGATATGCATCCTTAAGATCTATCTTTGTAAATTGATGTCTCCCCCTCCCCCCTATCAATTTCAGGAAGAGATCTTCTGTTTTTTGTATGGGATATTGCTCCACCAAATACTGATTGACGGTACTCGCAAAGTCTCTGCACAATCTTAGGCTTCATTTTGTTTCTTAACAATCACTAGAGGTGTGGCCCACTTACTACTTGTAATAGATGAAATTACACCTTATCGTTCCAATCTTCAAAGCTCTGTGTCTACTGCTTGCCCTAGTGCCCAAGGCAATGGTTGAGCCTTGTAGAAATTAGGTTTGCAATTTTCTTTTAGCTGTATATGTGCTTGAAATGAACTACACTCCCCCATGTCCAATGAAAATATCTCCATAAATTCATTTTAATCTCCTCTATTAAAGCTTTCTCAGCGATGTAGGTTCAATTTGATCTGCTATATCAAACCCTAGCAGCCGAAACGTCAGCACACTTGACCGAGACGCAGCTCATCCTGGATAGCCAAGAATGCTATATCAAACCCTAGTTTGGTAATACTGTCAAATCCTAGAAGATTCGTTACATCATATTTATCCACAACTACTAGCTCTAAATGCTTCCTCTTTTTCTTGTATTCTGCATTTAAATACATCTTGCCTTTGATCTTAATGGAGCTCTTGCAAAAGCTGACCAATTTCGTGTCTTCATTTTCACAATTAGAGAAGCCTAACCTGTGATATTTTTCTAAATTAATGAGTATGGATGCTGCTCTGGTGTCCACCAAGAAATTCACCTTCTTGTTGCCAAACTGCAAATATATAAAGAGATTCTTCTTAACTTCCCTAATCAATATTTCATTTACCATATATCTTTCTATTTCCTCTTCCTGTGCCACCTGTTTTACTCTTGGTCTTATCTTGACACACTTCTCTAATGTGGCCCTGCTTGCTGCGTAGAAAACATTCAGCTTGCCTGAATTTACATTTGTCTTGAATGTTTTTTAATACTCTCTTTCTAAGATTTTATTTCTCACTTGCTCTTTCACCTTTCACTTATAATACTTCCTTTTTCATTTTCACTGGTGCTGCCCTCTCTGAGATTTTATCTTCCTGCTGTGGTTTTGCTTACAGGTCTGAGCATGCCATTTCTTTTAACATTACAAGCTGATTCCGAATTTGCTACCTCTCTCATGGTTTTTGTAGTTACTTCATATGTGATTGCTAGACATTCCTCGAAAGTATGTTATGTGTAATGACCACATCTGATGAGTGATTCTGCATATGATTTTTCGTAACCCAATGCTTGGCATTTAAATTCACACCTGCGAGCCAACCTTCTAAGCTCTTTGATCCACTCCGGAGATTGGATTCCAGTTGTTTCCTGTTCTGGAAAAATACATACCAAGAAGTAATTACAAGCAGCATTTTAGCGAAATATTTATCTAATTCACTTTACTTTTTCCCAAGATACTTCCGTTATTTCTCTTTCAATAAACATCTTCCTTAACAAATTGCACATTTCATTGCCAATGCAAATTAGAATGAACTCTCTTTTCATGTCATCTTTGTCAACCCCGTGTCATAAAAGGTGTTGTTCTAACTTCTCTTTTTAAGTACACCACTCTTCCTTCTCTCCATCAAACGGTGGGAGGGGAGGTGGCTGCATTCTGAAGGCCAGACTCAATCCTTTCAATGCTTCCGTAATTACTGATTTTGATATTGCGCTGCTGTTGTTGTTGGAATTTTTGTTGTACCACCAGTTGTTAGTTTTGGAACTGCTGCCAAGCTATAAGTTGTTGCTGGATTTGCTGTTTTTGCTGCAAACATTTGTGAAAACTGCTCGGAAGTAGGTACTGTATTTGCCATTATTCTTGACACCAATTTTCATAATTAAAATATCTTATCAAGTTTTTATAACTATTTAAATTTCAATAAGCTTGTTAACACAATATTCAGTGCTCATCACATTCCTATGTATACTTGTAACTAAAACAAGTACAGTGCCTCCTGCACTTGTCCAAGACTCCCCCACACAATTGTCAAGGCTGTCCAGCCACATATCTTGGCCATTGGCACATCCTGGGTAACCCAGCTCACCTCCACCAGCGTGCTCAGATCCACTGCCGTTTAGAGGCGCAGGCTTCACTGATTGACCTCGTTGATTACCCAATTCCACTACAGTAGTTGGCAACAGCTTTGAGGTTAAAAGGATTCTCACTTCTTTATGGTGACTGGTAAGTAGTTCCATGAACTACTAATTATCAATATAAGTCAGAATTCACTAATTTCAAGAAATTTTATTTTAATAAATTATCATCATTTCCCTCTTATTTTTCAAAAATTATGCAGAAATGTGCAGAGACTGTAAACCATGGCAAAAGATGCAAAATAAAAATCATTTGTAATGCTCTAAATGGGTAGGTTCCTCAAGATTCATGATCATTTTCCAAATAACAATTAGCAAAAAAAGAAAAGCCTTTGCATGCAAATCCAGGCTCTACTGATAATACTACTATGTGCTGTTGTGTCCCTGTTTCTTCTTCTCTCTGACTCTCACCTGTCTCTGGGATTGATATTTATTGGTATTGTGTCTGAGAAATCATTGTAACTTTTGTATAGAAGATTTAATAAAGGAGCATTAGTTCCTTTATTTAAAAAAATATATGAGCTGAAATAGGCTGAAGCGAATTTCAGTATTTTAATTAATTTCTCTTAACATAAATTTCTTTATACTTAAAAAACTAATGCCTATACCTGCTAAAGGAACGTATGACTTAAAAAATCCTTGCCTTAGTCATTAGTAATATTGATAGTGTGCATTGAACTGGCAATATATTATTTGACAGGAAAAATAATTGACCCAGCTGATTGTGGAACAATGTTTATATCAGATTCAGTATATTTCATATCTATATGATTCATGTACATAATTACTCCACTAGTGCATTAACAGTGAATTTGAGAACTAATGTAAGCAATTATCAAGACGATCTGTCATAGGTCTGTTGAATTGCACCATAGACTGGAACATGACTTTTTTCTTTAGTTGCTATTTCATTTTGATTTTCTTTTAATTTTTTCTTAAAATTATTTGATTTCAATTTGTTTATAATTTTTTTATTTGTAGTATGTAGGAAAGAATTAAGATTCTGAAAAATTCAATCTTCCAGTTTTGTACAAAAGGTGAGGGAAATGAATACTGAACAAGAAAATCGGGGATTACAAGAAAACTTAGAACAGCAAAACCTAATGGAAAATTTATTTACGTGAAGCACAAGAATCTGACCAAGCCTTGTGACAACTAAAACATTTAATTTTTTAAAAAATGTTTTCTAATGAGTATTTACCATATTTACTACTACACTGTTTAATTGTTGCAATAAATTCTAGTGATACACAGAGTACTCTCCAATTCACGTACTCTTATTTTCTTCTCTTATCTACATTTCTGTGAAAGAATTAGTCTCTGATATGGAATGATTCTTAAAGAGAATATTTATCCAAATTCATGCACTTGTAGTATCTGCCCATGTTTTCTTGTGCTCTTATTTCAGTAGATGTGAGTGGTTTTGTGAGTTATTAATTTTGACAGCAGAACTATTATACATAATCTGTAGTTTGTTTTTCAATGTAAAATAGTTTTTATTATACAGAAGTGAAAATTTTGGGTAATTTAATATTGTCAACATGCTTGTTCCTAACATTTATTCTTAATTCAAATAATGTCGGTACACAAATAGCGGTCGGCATTTCAGTTCTCAAGAAAATATACACGGGGTATTTAGAGTTCGTTTTAGTAACCTACTCCTTATTGCTCTGGAAAAATTTTCAAAACTAGTACTCTATTACATTACTCACAAAATTCTGAAGATTCTTTAATTGAGAATGTGTATCACAGAAAAGTTGTAAATCCAGAATCCATTGAAATTTTCTGAAACCTTCTATCTTACCTTAGAAATAACATGCAGTATATAAATTATGTTTAAAGTTAGACATAGAAGACTCAAGGAAGTGAATCGTAATAAAAGATGTACATGTTTTCTTTGAATACACTCTCTCATCTCTGTTGCTGAAGATCTGAATCTAATTTTCAAAACTGGTGGTGTTGTCATTTGCCAACCAGACTCTATGATAATTCTGTTCTTCACTCATTAAATTATATTTATCTTCTTCAAAAATTCCTGTGAAATTATTGTGCTTTTCTCTTGGTTTGTTCCTTATGCAATAGTGTTTCGAGAGGCATATTTTGGTGTATTGGGGAATAAAATGAATATAATTCCTTCGCCCGGTTAATCTTCTATTGCAGAAGGTGAAAATGTATATTAATCTTACCATCAAGATGTGTTTGTCTCATTTCTCAGAAAATGTATGCATTAAACATTAGAGCAATAAACATACTGGTATATTCTTGTCAGCCCATGAGCAAGTTTGGATTGATAACAATCTATTGGAACACAGTAAATGTCAACCAGTATGACTGACAACAGACTACTCTGAATATGATTTGTGACAGTACTTGCTACTCCAACTGGGTCAGCTATTTTTCTGGTTGTTTAATATTGTAATACTGCTTTAAAAGCAGTACATACACTAATACATAACATTTATAGATATTCGAAAGAAAGACATAATATGTCAGTGTGTTTTAATTGTAGTGCACATTATCATTCAGAATTTCAAATACAAGAAAGTTAAAAATTTTTTATTAAGAGGAAAACATTCAGGGTAGATTATTGGTTTCTATTCCATTCTTTAGTTTATTCAAAAGGGTATAAGTAAGGTGCTGTGGTACTTAGGTTAAGGTGCTAGCTCAAGAGTTTTTGTTCTCAGTAGTTCTGTACAGATAAAATTTTATTTAGTTTTGTGAGAAAGATATGCACATATAATGCACCTATTCTGCTATTGATAATTATAAATCATGAAATTTCTAATTTTGTTTTTTGGTTAAATTCACAGATTTAATGATATAAGTGTTGCAATTCGCATTAAATGTGTCCAATATTCCATGCATTTTTTATTAAATCACCCTGAACTTCGTAAGGATATTACTGAGACACTGAAATTACGCCAGCATGATTCTGAAGAAAATGTGAGGTATGAGGTGGTAATGGCTATTGTTACTACTGCAAAGAGAGATTTTGAAGTAGTGTCGGACAGTGAAGATCTCCTTGAGTTTGTGAAAGAAAGAACATTAGACAAAAAGGTATGTTGATTTTGACTAAAGTAATTTTACATTATTTTGCTAGGATTATTCGCATTTAATATTAACAAAAAGGAGCTTTATTACTAGTAGTTGCAGTGTTTATTATACTGCTTCAAGAAGAAATTGTAAAATAACCATAGATGTAACCTTTAGATGCAAGATTTCCACAAGAATGCATTACACTCCAGTATGTAATTAACGATATTATTTTGAAAAGAAAACACTGTGTAAATTGTATTAACTTATTGTATTTAATAGGGTGCTTTCTGTATTTCTATACACGTTTTCACAATATAAAAATTAGTTTTTTTTTGTTTTTTTGTATATACAGGCCAGTTGGGCTGCAAATTCTTTGAAAGTTTTATCAAATTGTGAAGTTTTAGTGGCATGTCATATTGTAATTAGCATGAAAACCCTTAACAGAAATACCTTCACTAGAAATTACATAAAATTAAAACACTGCAAAGAATTCAAAATAATTTAAAGGGTATTTAGAATAATTTATTACCCACAAAGCATTCATAATATTTTCAGAATATAGTAACAGACTGTCGTTTGAGTTGTCTCTTTGTTGTAAAAATTTAGCAGTTAAATGTCTAATGTGTTCTCATGGTTGTTATGATGTACTGGGCTTCCAGCCATTATTTTCATTCTTCTGTTATTTTATTATCTTCATGTACTGTTCTGATGAGAACAAGACTTTTGCTGATATTGGGACTAGAGTGGTGATTTTTTAAGATGAAAACTGAATTCAAAACAATGACTTTTCTCGTTTGGTTTTTGTGTGTGTTGGTTGCTAGAATATCAAGCATTTAAATTTAAAAAACATTTTAGCCGGGTCTAACAGAATGTGTGGTACCTACAAATATTTTTAAATTTCCCCAAAACCTAGAATTTGATGGTGTCTGTTATTAAAGCTCAAACCTTCAGAAATTTGTAGAGGTATTTATATTCTTCAAAAATATTTTGTAAATTCCTGTGTAATAATTGTACTTGAAAGTGTCTCCTAGGCCACTTAGACCTATGTGGTGCATCTAAGGGTTACTTCTGTAGCTCATAAGTAAATTTTTCTTGAGACCATTACCTTATATGTAATTCCTTCATTATGTAATTTGTGTTAGCATGTTCTTGTATATCAAAAAATTAATGAAAATTATTTACAGTACAAGATTCGGAAAGAAGCTATGTCTGGCCTTGCGATGATTTATAAGAAGCATTTAAATGATGCTGATGTTCCACAGGCAACAAAAAAAGCAGTTACGTGGATAAAAGACAAGATTTTACATGGTTATTACATGAGTGGAATGGAAGACAGGTAATTAGTTAAAAATCTGCAGATAAAAGATATCTTCATTTTTTTAAGGCAAATGCAATTTCTATAAATCTCTTTGGTTGAAATATGTTTTGAATGTATGCATATTTTTTTTTTTTTTTGGGGTGAGCAATTTTGTGAAATTGCTTAATCACAGCTGTACCACCCTTTTCTCTTCAAAAGAGCGGTGCCCTTCAGAAACCTGCTTCATCTGCTTTTTGCTACATTCCTTTTGCTATCACCTTTATTACAACACTGAAACATGCTCATTGTACGAACATCCTCCTTCATAATTCAACATAATCTAGCCTGACTGGGCTTAAAATATGACCAAAGCAGATTGCTTCTCTTCTTTCACTATTAAAGATCTTACAAAACATCACTGACTCCCCTGAACCAGTGGATCCTTGTCAATTGACACCTCTCTGAATGATCCCTTTATTCAGTTTCCTTCACAATACAGCATCAAATGTTGAGTGTTGTCTGAAGAAATGTGTAAATCAAACGTTCTGTGGGAATTTACAGAATCTGTTTAAATATTATTCAACATATGACACCTGTGGGCCCCAAGAAATGCACTAGAAGGCATTACGGAGCACATTGGTCAGAGGTTTTGGGCAGCACTCTGAAGGAGGTAGTCACGTTATATCAAAAATAAGATTAAATGTTGCAAATGAAATTTATTAAAAACAATGTTTTTACACTAATTTTTCTCAAAATATGAAACAATTCTATCATGTAGTTGAAAAGATAATCACATTTGAAAACTTGCATTTTAACATGCAAAGTATAGGAAAAGGATTTCATCTTACCATAATTAATTAAATTTACATAAGATTACATGAGGGAGCAGTGTTTTAATGTAGGTTAATTCTTTCTAAGGAGAAAAGAATTGGATTGAAAATATTTTACCATGTAGTTTGGACATCCTCTGATTCCGTGTTGCTCTCTGGTCATTTCAGCCGTCCCTGAAACTTTTGCATGTTGAATTTGTGTTCATCCATGATGTGATGCCACCTAAGAACTGAAACACTAGATATTCTTCCTGTTGCCCTCATTTGTGGCTTTTGATTTTTTAACAGTTCTTTCACTTTCTTTAATACAATATACTTGAAATTTGCGTTGTTTAATGTTCGCATGATCAAGTTGTGAACTGCGAATTCGTCCATCTCCATAACGCAAGTTTCCAATTTGGGGAACTTTTTACTAAAAATAAATTTCTTCTAACATTTGTCTTTGGATGAATAATGCATAGTGACATCAATTTGAAGTTTTTAATATCCTTCTCTTCCAAAATGAAGATTAGCACTTGCTGGACATCAAACCAAGAGGCCTTGCTGCCTCGTCTATCTAACGCCTATCTTTTCCATGATTCATTCCACTTGCTGCTATGCTATTTGTTTGAGATTCTCTTTTTACTGGTCCATTCAGAAATATTGGACAAGTATTCCAAGAATATTTCCTTGATTATAATTATTATAGATACATATATTTTTTATTGTCCTTGCAACTTATTATTACATCAGCATTCAAGTTTCTTAATATGAAAGGCTGTGTAAAAACATAAATCCTAAGTGACTTTGAATCTTAATCTGCGAATAATCTGTAATGTTTAATATAAGATGTCTCCATATTTGTCAAATGATACGTTTAGGAAAAAACCTTGTCTTACATTCGGGTAAATATGTATATTCATAAAATATAATAGATGAGGTTTCGGGGTGTAATTGTTATTTCATTGAATGAATTGAATTGAATTTCATAGGTTACTTGTTGAACGCCTTCTAAATACTTGCCTGGTACCATTTCAATTACCTGCTGAGGAGAGAATGAAAAAGTTATATCATTTGTTGGGGACAATTGATGACCATGCCACCAAGGCATTTATTGAATTACAAAAACATCAGTTAGCGTGAGTACTCATTATAAAAGTAATTTCTTTGTGATCATGTATTGAGGAAACTTATTTTCTTCTATTAACTCTATTTTTTTTGGTCTCCAGTGTAAGAAGAAGTGTGTCAGAATGGCTTGAGCTTCACCGCCGGCCTCATTCTGTGGAGCGAGATCGAGAAATATCAGCTAAAATTATGGTTTTATCTCGATTTTTACCGGAACCTGTGAAAGCCCAAGAGTTCTTAACTAAGTTTTCTGTAGATTTGTTACGTGACCAACAACTATTGCTTGGAATGGAAAATATTGTCCGACCAGATATTAGTTGCAAGGAATGTGCTGACACTACGGTATGTGCCATCCTGTTTTTCAAACATTGTTTCAAATTAATACACTTTTAATGAACAATTGATAACCAGAAAACAATTACAGTAAAATATTAGTGTCAAAAAATAGGGAGGAAGCTCGATTATTTTTGTTATAGTAACATTTTGTTGTATTGAAGAAAGTCAATTCTTAAGGATACTTATTAAGTTATATCCAGTACAAGATCTAAATTACTTCAGAATGCTACCAAACTAATGGAAAAACTGAATATTCTGCAGGTGGGAGATTTATAAAATAATTACAGTAACGTGAATGAGATTTTTCGTACTCTTCAGTGCCCTTGAAAATTAAATTATAGTTTCTTGGTTCATTCAGCCACCGTAGTTTAGGGTCTGCAGTTCCAGATGAGCTTCCTGCCATTGCCAGGCCATAATTTTTTTCTCTCTAGTAGAACAGTGCTTTGAATGTGGTGCAAGTTTGATTTTCAGTCAAACTAATGTACTGTAAATGTATGCTTCCATGGCTCGGGAAGTTCGTATCTTCTTCACTGGCCAGGTGACACTGAGAGCGTAGGCTTCCGCAGCCGGAATCAGTATTTAATTGGCTGTTTGGTTGACACCGCATTCATGGCAAAGGTGACGACGTAATGCATTACGCCCTAAGGAAGGTGCAGATGGAGATGCTGACTTATCGCCTGTCGCATTGCAAGTGAAACGTCAGCCTCTCAGCCTGTGCTGTGGCATCACTTGGACAGTGAAGACAATAAAAACTAATGAACTACTGAAATTTGAAAATTCGAATATCTTGTTTCTTTTACTGCTAAAGAATGTTTCACAGGATGGGTGAAAAAATACTAGGATAAAATTTGAAATATAGTATTCCTTTTTCATTACCAATAACCTGAGAAAGTATGTGTTGTTGGAGCACCACTAGTGTCTTGAAGCTTCTAGAATGATTAAATGTACTTTGATCAAAAAATAAATATTTGAGTTCTGTTTTTTTAATATATTCAAAATATGATGAATATTTAAGTGCCATTGTATTCTAATTTTTTTTTTTTTTTTTCCAGAGCTTGGTTTTGAAGAAATTGGGCCAACCTGTCATGACAAATTTATATTACAATACAGTGAAGATGCTATTGGAGAGAATTTCTTCCGTCATGGTTGATCATCAAGCCATAAAGGTATAACAAAAATGTACTTACACTGGTCATAACATAAAAGGCAAAAATTGAAATATGACAAATGAATAAATTTCAGCATAGAGTGTTTAAGATATCCTATTTAAGATAAACTTTGTCTCTCATGAAAAAAAAGATTGTGGGTGTCACTTGCAATACAGTGGTTTATTTTGAGCTACATTTCTTCTTTATGAATAATATCACTTAGTTCTGGAAAATGAAATCAGTGATGTCCAAATGACGATGGAAATCAATGGTCTAAGAAAATTTTAAAAGGAAATTGGAGCAATCTTCTGGTTATGAGCGGAACACAATGTTCACTTGTTTTATGACACTTCTCCCCTGAATGTCACCAACCTATCAAGAAGAGAAAGGGCGACAAAACCTGTAGGGATGGAAATGCATGAAGTACATGAAATAAGACCTATTATACTTATTCACTTCAGAAGAAGCATACAATTTGAGAATGTTTGTGTGGATCCCAGTTACATACTCTACAAAGTGAAGGAAGTGGTTCACTGCCATGTGAACTACATGATTTTGATGAAAACTGCTACAATATTGCACACAGCATGATGCACAATAAAAAAATAAGTTTTCACCGTGTTAGGTTTTTGGCATGAAAGTATTCTGAAGGAATAATTGGCAGTTCGAGCAGTGAGTCTCAAATACAGAACGTTCACCAGACTTCTTGATGCCATGCTATCACAGAGTGGACCTCCAGCAGACTGAGGCCCCCGCTCTAATGCAAGAACCACTGCGTGTAGTCAGAATTGCACGGGGTGTGTGCAACCGCAGCTCCTGATTGGTCAGGGTACTTCTGATCCGCCGGAGGGTTGGCGTGATATTTGTGTATCTGGTATCTGTTTTAATCATAGTGGGTATCTGCTTTAATCATAGAAGTTGGTGCATAACTTATACAAAATTGACAATTATTGAATTCAACATGGGCTAGTCCACATACAAAAGGATTTTTTTCGAATGACATATAAATTTCTCTAAATTACCAACAACAGCTGTATTGTTACAAGGAGTAGCACAGGTAAATCTCTAAAAATTAATAGGGTATATAGAGTTGCAAACATCTCATTTTCGTATGTCTTGGTTAGGAAGGGTCGGACAGGGTTAGGTACTGCCTTAGCAGTAGAAAGCACAAGTCAGTGCGGCATCAGAATAAACTGTAAGGTATGATTATGGTACACTGGCGGGCGCATGATATGCTTGAAATATCCAGCATATTCGCGGGAGGGCCTGAGGTGGCCAGAGGCGAATTATTAGAGCTAATGGGAAGGTAGCTGTTGTGGCCTCCCACAACACACCAAACCAACCCACCAAACTCATGATAGAACGGGTGCTGCATGGGTAATGTAAAAAATCTGACTGTTGTAGCGCTTGTGTGCCAGTTTGAAATACATCAACGTTCATAAATACGTTATATGTATTTATGTATGTTGATGTATTTCAAAATTTGTAATCAAGTCATGTAATTTACTCTAGTTTCAGGGCAGAAGTACCAATATCCCCAAAACAGTCATTAAATTAACTACTCTGCATAAAACGGAAATCTCCCTAGACCGTCCTGTTTTTGTTCCGATAGATTTCATCTTAGATTTTACTGTACTGCACTGTACCGTGCTGTACTGCGTCAAACACTTCTGAATGTTTCATTGGAAAACTCCTTAAGATATTTCACTGAATTGCCCTTCTCACTCATTTGAAGGTGGTTCCTCACATTCGGCAACTGTTTGCCCAATCTTATGTAGCGAAGATGCTTGTTCACTTTCTTTGAGCCTATAAGTCTGACATGTGCATACTAAACACCAATGCTTGGAGCTCGGCAAATAGCAAGTAACCCATCCATAATACATGGGATTCAGCAAACAATTGTTCACTTCTCACTATACAAATGTATACAAAATGTATGAAGTCACTTTGAAGAAAGATTCTGATTTTTTGAATTCAGATGTGATAATGCTCGGATTCAGTTGAAACCGCAGATGCATTACTTTATCGATCCATGTTGCTGCCAATGAATGCGTGGATTGACTTAGTGGTTCCGAAAAATATAAATAATCTGTCTAAAATAATTTGGAAAGAATATAATATGGAATATGTTTCAAATAAAATATTGAAATCTACAAAGAGATATAAATTTCCTCACATATAACCACTTAATAATGCCTAATTTGTAAAGATATTACTAAAGAATATTTGTAACTAATAAAAATACAATTATGTAATAACCTGCAAATCCTAGTCCTCATTTGGTTCTGTAGAAGTATTATAGAAAATGTCTACTGGAAGCACATCCTGTATGGAGTTGGAAGCTCCATTTAGATCCTCTTAGATGGTCAATGAAGAAGATGGAAGCCTTTACAATCATAGTTTTTCTATTTTATGCCTGTGTCTTACAATTATGGCCAGAGACACGGGCGTATTTTAATGGATGTTAAATATGCATTCATTGCAAAGTTTATGGTCGCAAATGGAGTATGGCACAAAAGCACGTTGCACAAAGTCTGTTGTGCTCTGCTTGTCTGATTGGACTTCTGGCATCTGAAAACACAGACATTGTAGCATGTGTTACATGACGCTTGTGTACCCGCAGCGTTAGGAGCAAGGTTGATGAAGGAGCTGGAACTATTCATGAGAATAATGTAGAGAAAACATCTCCAAAATAATATTTTATGAGAAATAAAATTCGTAAATAGGAAAATTGATGTATTAATGAAAATGGAATGCTCATTCAAATAAGTACATGGTGAGAGAAGATCTGAAGAGGAAGATTTGGTGGGTGAACCCCATACCCTTCAAATTGCTGACTTCTTGTTTCTGCATGAATGAGCATGTTTATAAAGAAATAAACAGTCTCATTAGGAAGAACATCAAAGATGCTGAAGAAATGTTTTCCAGGCAGCTGATATGTTTGCTTTGTAATGCTTTATAATTTTGTCACATGTTTTTACAAATCATATATAATACCCAACAAACAGAGCCTACTATCAAGTTTTGAACATCTGTTTGTTTCCGCCTGCTCTCCAGCGTTCAGCATCTCATTTTTTAATGATTTGAGTTTTTGGGTGGTGCTCAGGTCTGCAAAGAAGAGATATTAAAGCAACACTATTCGCGGCTAGTTAAGTTCCAAATAAATTTCAAGAGAAAAATGTTGAGAAATTAAAAAAGAAAAGAAATTGGCACTGAAGAAGAAGAAAAACAAAAGAGAAGGAAGGGGGGAAATGTTACTGGTGTGTAATATACAAATGTTAATAATTTTATACTTGATCATGTTCAATAAGGAAGAGATACAGTGTGTTTGTGTTTTTTTTTTCAACCCTCAGTGTTGTGTACTTATTTTGATTTTGATTTCTTTCAGATACTTGTTGGTTATATTGAAGACTGTCTCAAAGGTGGAAATCTTATAGAAGAAGTAGGTTTGCATCCAAACACAGCTGGCGAGCGAGGTCTTAAGTTATTAGTGGTGAGTAGAAAGCTATTACTTTTCTTTCTCTTTTGCAGTTAATTTTCTGCAGTTTCTTAATCACATTTTTTTACCCTCCGCAGATGTTGTCATTTGTGTTTCCATCACATTTTCTTCACGAAGATGTTATCAGACACCTTATGTCATTTCTTGAATATGAAGATGAATCTGTTGCTCCTTTGGTGCTATCAGTTCTCACGTTCCTTGGGAAATATAAACCCATTGGTAAGTATTACAGAGAAAAAATTAATTTGATTTTCTTGGAATGTAAAGAATCAGTATACATTCTGTTTGTAATTGCTCTAATCATGACTACTGCAATTAAAAATTTCTTGAAATATTTAATGTATTGCAGTATTATATGAGAGTAATGCTTTTCTTGAGCAGTGTACATGCTACTTTTTGGGAAACCATTTTGAATGTTATTGTGCAGTATCATTTTATCTTCTGCAAACCATTAGTAAAAATGATTTTGCAGTAAATGCTTCAATGCATTTTTTTGCTATAAGTTATGGGAAAAGCCCTTGCTTGTTATTGATGGAGTGACAATAGCCAGCCTACAACTTTCGTTTACAGGTCAAATTCTCTCAATCAGAGATCTGAACAAATTTGATAATTAACATATTACCGGTGTGAAATATTTTTTGTGGAGAAAGTGGATAAATGGTCTCACAGAGGTCTCACTCTCTTGTTTGAATGAATTAATAAAACATTCCCGCTATCGTTAAAATCAGTGCTAATCTAATCACCTTCAAAATAGTACCCTTGCATTCATACACACTTGCTATATTGTGGGATTATTGGAAGCAGCAATAGAAGGCGTCCTTTGTGACTGGAGCTGAGCCATTGCATGATTCTTTTGGTCTGGAAGACATTGGTGTGTGCCATTCTGATGTCTGCAGTTTTGTCTCCGGGTTGTAAGCAAACACCCAAGCCTCATTGCTAGTCATGATCAGTCCAGCGTATTTGTCTCAAACAGCTTGCCAGCTATTGTCATGTGAAATTCCATCTGACCTGTGTTCAGCTGCCAGAATGAACTTTGCCTTGCACCCCATCTTCAAATCATTGCATTTAATGGAATGAATCAATCCTTGTGAGATACCGACTTTGTGCAACAATTCCGTAAATACCGTTTTTCTATGGCCTTGAATTTTTTATTTCACTTTGCCATAATTTTGTCATTTTGGGATGTTGACAGTCTCCTGCAGCACTTATCCTATTATGTTTCCTCCCATTTCTTAAACTATACAAAACAGTCATAAACTGGTTTTCTTTAGGGTAGTTATTTACATTTTATTTTATTTATTTACATATAATACAGTACAGGCAAACGCCCAATAGTAAGTAGAACACTCATAAAAGTAAGACATCAATTAAAATTATTAAAATCAGGATTTTAACATTACTTTCACATAAAGTATAAACATAATTTAAAATCATTCAAAATTAGATTTTTAACATTACATTTAAATTTATTAAATCACATCATAGTGTACTCTACAAAACATCCTCCATAATGGGACATAATAATAAGAGTTTGTTCTCGCAAATGGAACACTAAATAGTACAGTTTCGGTGGAATGCAGTCCATGCATGAATTATGAATTTCACCCAAGGAAGTTGAGAAAACAATGTCAGAGAATCTATTAACTTATTTACTAACTTACATGTATAATATCATAATACTTCTCTCTAGAGTGTAGTGAGCTTATATTCGAATTAGCCACAATGCAGTGGTAATCATAAGTTAACCTAGGTGATAGTATACCCAGTTGATGAGAAACAAAAGTAAAACATTTATGCTGAAAAGTTTCAAGTCCACAGACGTGGGTTTGATAAGGAGGAGACCAAACCTGCGAGGCAAAATATGTCTCACCAAGGTGAGGTATAAGATTTTAAATGTTTGCATGTTAGAAAAGTCTGATGATATGCATCTTACAAAGCCCAGCATCCAATTAGCTTTATTAACAATATATTCAATATGTATATGTATTCTCAGTTTACCATCAAAAAACACCGCCAAATCCTTAAACTGTGAAACAGTTTCCAGTGATGTATCACGTATTTTGTAATAAAATATTATTTTATCAGCGAGTCTAGTAAATTGAATTGATTCTTTATTTTCTGTGGTGAGACTCATGCCATCAGGCCCGTTCTTCCATCTGACCACGCACATGTCGGTACCTCCTTTCACCCACTAGCAGAGTAAGGAGGTATTTCTTGGGCGACAAAACAAGGGATTTGAATTTAGCTCAGAGGCTTCATTTAGGTTTGATCTTTTACATGCAGTAAATCTACTAAAATGGGACTGCCGGCCTTACTTTCCTTCCGAAGGAAGGTGTATGAAGGATTTTCTCGCCCTCAAAAACCCACGGCTTTGAATGGGTTTGAAACCGTGAACAGGAGATCTTCTTTTCCTAAAACCATTCTGCTTCTCAATTATGAATTGGTTTAATAGAGAGGTTAATTTAGATGTAATTATAGATTCCATAATTTTAGCTATTATACATAATTTAGATATGAGTCTGTAGTTCTCAATCTTGGAAAGATTTTCCTTTTTAAAAATAGGAGTTATAAAACTATTTTTACAGACTTTAGGAAGGTTTCCTTCTTGCATTGACTTTGTGAACAAAAAATGAAGCATATGATTTAATTTAACGAAACAGTTTCTCAACAAAGAAGAAGGCATGTCATCAGGAGCAGGAGTTCAAATTGTTTTAAGATTTTTAATGGCATTATAAACATTCATTTGAATAATTTCCAAGTAATCAATATCAATAGTTCCATTATGTTCATTTTTACAAATATCTTCAGCATCATCAGCAGGAACATAAACCTCAGCAAAATATCTTGCAAACAAGTCAACAATTTGTTGTGGTGAGTTGCCAGTATCATTTCTTAGAAACCTTTCATTAGGAAGCAGATATTTTTCTTTTCAAAGTCGCGTATTTCCAGAAAAAGTGGATATCATTACCAATGGAAGATTCAATTTCAGTTATATATCGGAATAATCTAGAATCTAATCAATAAAGTTATTGAAGAGAGAAATAGACAATAGTAAAACATAGTCCACAGGGTTCCAATTCCAAAAAGCACTATAGAAATCCAGAAATCTAAAGAAGAGAAGGCATCTAAAAGGCTATAACAATTTTCAAAGGTAAACCCACTGCTGAATTTTTTAGGGTGAAATCCAATAACCAATACGATTGGGGGAAACTGAACCCAGAGAAGGATAAGCCTATTAAGATATGCTTTAGGTCATTGAATTTGGCATTCAAAACAGAAGAAAAACAACACAATCTTCCCTGTGAACCAATAAGAATGAGCAAACCCTGATGCAAAGAAATCATTTAATCAGAAAGAAATCAAGAAAACGTTGTGTAACCTGAAGCTAAATGTCGGTGTAGCCTACCCACCATTGCCTCCAAAACAAGACATCTCATGATTCAATATGCTCAGAAAGACAAAAAATAAATCCATAAAGATAGTAATAATTTTGGAGGATTTTTAGTGTCCAAACCTGGCAAGGCTATATCCAACAACTGTAAACACCCTTCCTGAAAAGAATTCCTGACATTGCACACATGCCTTCCTCCACTTATTACTGAAGCAACAAGATTTAGAGATGGGCGGAGATTAGCAATCTTGGATCTGATTATTACAAATGATCAAATTGCTTCCATGAAATAAAAGCTAAGCACCTCTTTTAGAAGTAGGTGTTACAGTTATCACTAAGTGGTAACACTCAACATGCAGATCACCACATGTACTATAATACATGGAGTACTATAATACATGGAAAGACCACCAAGGCTTACTGACACATGGACTTTGTGACTATTAAGTAAGAACTGGTCTCCCTTGAAACTACATGTTTGACTTAAAGGTAACAGCACACATTTGAATGCAAAACCTCATGCAACATCAGAGTGTAACGAGCAACACTATATGTGGTTGTTCTATGAAGACGGTTAACAATATGTGTGTTATTTGAATTATGTAATAATTACGAACATTATCAGAATATCAGCCTGGCCTTTGTAATGTAAAAAACATTTTTAAAAAACAATCAAACAGTTATCTCTTATTTTGAGGTTAAAATAATATCAAAAGTTCCAAATCTTACCAAAATTTCCATTCATTCATTTTATTATTCAATTCTTCCATTTCATTCATGTTTATTATTTTTTGAATTGGCAAAGAATATGGAGAAACTGCCTCAAGTACTCATACTCATCTTCAAAAATCTACTGCAGAACTTCTCACAAACATGTTCTAAATTTCAGGATGTGTGTAAATAACAAGGGATCTTAGATGAAAATTGCACTATCAGTGATCATTAAATCTGTGTCTTTATAATGGAGCCCTAAACTTCCGTCACCTAAAGATGACAGCACACTTATGTGTTCTAGCATCACCTATACACGACTTTTTAAATTAAGCTGGTGCATTAAGACTTTTTTACATTGTTTGTAATGTCATCTTCCAAAAAGGGACAGTATAATATCCTGAAAAAGCAAGAGTTGCAGTAGATTTCCTCTCTTCAACTTTTAATGGCACCTACCGACGGGGATTCAATCTTTCACTTCATTGGTAAATTGTTTCATTGTGAAATAACTTAGTTTGCAATGAAGTGGATGTCTTCTTCTTCTGCACTTCAAGGATTAGGTGGCTGCCTGTTACGGCTTCACATATCAAAACATCTTCTACATGGTCTTCCTATACTTCTTCCTGTTGGGTTGTACTGCAGCACTTGTTTAGGCCGCCTATTGTGCTCCATTCTTTATAAATATGTTTTCCAGTCTTGTTTGTATAGTTGTATACAATCATTTAAACTAAATATATTTAATTATTTTCTTATCTTCATTTCTTTGTTTGTCTAGCAAAGTACAACCTTTTACTCTCCTTAAAAATTTCATCTCTGTAGCTTCAATATTAATTTTTTCATTTGAGAGAGAATCCAATTTTCACTCCCCTCCCTTTCACAGGACTACTGGTGTTGTCATTGTTTTATAAAATGAAATTTGGAAGTGGATGTGTTGTCCCAAACTCGTTCTCTTCTTTTTTTAGCTCTCAAGAATAACATTTCTCTCTGGTAGCAAAGTAACCTGTTCACCAAAAGCCTTCATTGTAAATTTTGTTTTAAATTCATATTTTAGTTTCAGGATTTATAGGGCTGCATTTTGAATTATTTCTTTTTATTGCAGGGGAACTTTTCCCAGATATTGTAAGAGAACTTGTTCCTGTTTGCAAGAAATTTGCCGAAGTGGGAACACCGAAACAAGCAAAACAAGCAATTCGATGCTTATATATAAATATGACTCAGGGACCTGATGCTGTTTTTACAGAAATACTGGAGGTAGTATACTATTTATTATGGTTTAGAGATTGTCACTCATTCAGATATGAAAAGTTTTTTGTTCATTTTGGATTTGTTTGTTCTAGAAAGTGAAAGAAAACCTTACTCCTAATTCAGAGAATTATAGAACAGCAATTGTTGCTCTTGGGCATATTGCTTACAATTTACCAGATAAATATCCTGTACATATAAAGAATATCGTATCAAGAAAAGTAAGTTCTGGAAATCACTGTTATCTAATTCTAGAATAATCACAACTCCATAAAATTAATGCATATGTTGTACACACAGATTGTGAAAGAACTCCTTGTGAAAGAAAACTCCGTAAATAGTTCGGGATTTGCTGATGACTGTGATTGGTGCAGAGAAGACGAACTTCCTGAAGAAACAAGGTGTAAAGTGGAAGGGATGAAAACAATGGCTCGGTGGTTACTAGGATTGAAGGCTGATGTATTGTCTGCTCAGAAGACGTTCCGCATGCTGAATGCTTTTATTGTGAATCGTGGTGATTTGTTGCAGCAAGGAAGACATAGGTAAAATAGATGTAGTGTTAGCAAAGAAACAGTTGCAATTCAGTGTGATGTTTTCTCTCTCTTTTCTAAAAAGATTGTTAATTTGAAGTTGGCAGGGATTTTTTTCTTTTTTATTTGTTACTTGTACAGTAAAACTTCCTTCAAGTGGAACTTCAAGGGACCAGAACTTTTTTCCATTTCAGACAAGATTCTGCTTTATGCAATATAATGCTGTAGAATTTGTGATTGGCAGGATTTAAGTTTACATTAGACATTTTTCCACATTATACATCTTCCGCATTGAGGACGTTTTACTGTATTGTATTTTTTTAGTGATATATTCTACTACTTTGTTTGCTCATTTATATTTTCTTTTGTAGAACTATTTGCATAGGATGACTGAATATCTTTTATGATTTACAGTAAAGCAGAAATGGCATGGTTAAGATTAGCCGCGGGATGTGCAATGTTGAAGATCTGCGAACAGAAGGGGGTTGGTGATCAGTTCAATGCTGAACAATTTTACAATTTATCAACTTTAATGACGGTAAGTATTAATTAGACAGTTATTGTTTAGTTTGTCAATCAGAAGTAATGAGCATCCCTATACTCTTTTGTTTAGGATGAAGTAATTCAAGTGCGTGAGATATTTGCCACCAAACTTCACAAAGGTCTGGGAAGAGGTATCCCACATAAATGTTTGCCTTTAGATTTCATGGGTTATTATGCCTTGGCTGGTTTAGAAACAGACAAAAGGCTAAAAACCATTATGAGACAATACATGGTTACAGATATCAATAAGCGGCGTGAATATGTGAAAAGTATCAGCATGGGAACAAGCTCAGCAGGTGGGTGATGCTAATATATTACTCCTGATTTCTGTTCTTATGATATGTGTCAAAGTGGTAGAACCAAACTTGTTTCCTTGTATTGTTTGCAGAATGTTTTCTTGTTAGAAAATAATTTAATAGAAACCTTTTAAAAAATATTTGAAACTTCATAAACTCATAACATGAAATTAAAAATATTTCCACCTGAATGATAAATGTTTGACAGTTTATCTTGTCAGTTTTGGATATGGGGTTTGGTTTATGTATCCATATCACATACTTTTTTTGTTGACAAATACTTATTGGATTTTTTTAATAACATTGATTTAGTTAGTTTTGTTTGGTATCATTGTCATCATATAAGATGCATCAACACATAATACACACCACATTTTGAGAAAAAAATTAAATTACACTACATAAATCACCTCCCTAATGTAGAGAAATTTAGAAATGTAGAAAAACAACAACTGCATTTTATATGCCAGGAAGATTCTTTCGCACTCTTGTTTGATATTTAGTGACAAAGATGTGCCCTCACATTAATTCAGTTTGAATATCACATTATTTCCTTTTCTATGGAAGGAGAGTAACATTTTGACGCTGATTCATGACAAAAAGAGGAAAGGTAGTGTTAAGGAGCTGCTGTCCTATTCATCCTTTCATCCTTTTCCTCCATATAAGGTGGTCATGCTAGCCACTTGGCAGCAGTTTGCCCTGAGAAAGGCAACAATATGTTGGCTGAAATGTGAGCCATGAAAGAGACGCGGCTTGTCCCAGATAGCCTAGACAATACAAACTCCGGCCACAGAAGCCTGTGCAATCACATCTAAATTGAATTTTTATTTCAAAAATATTCTATCTGAAAATCAATATAGCTTTAGACCTAACCGATTTACATTAACCAATTTACTGTTAAAAAATATTACTACTGCTTTTGAGCATGAATATAAAGTTGATGATGTTTTCACTATTTTCTCTAACGCTTTTAACCAAAAGCCTTTCGTCATCCTTGTTGACTAGTCCAGATTGAGGTGGGCGATCCACTTTCATCTTGGATCAACTGTTATTTGACAGGTAGATCACAGTATCAATGGATTTCTCTCATCCCTTTTTTATGTTAGCATAGTGTCCCACTAGGTTTACAGCTTCAACTCCTGCTAATTAATTTATTCATAACGATCTACCCAGTGTAATTAAATGTAGCAAAATTTTACTATATGCAGATGACCCCAAAATCTTCTCCACAGGGGTCTGATGCTGAGTTTCAATCCCCAAAGTATCTTTTATAAGAGACTTGGTGAGGGAGTTATATTTGACTCCAAACTGAAGTTCAAGGGATGTATTGATCTGATTATTCAGAAAGCCAACCAAATCTGAGGATTTGTGAGAAGAACATGCTTGGGCTTAAACTCAACGAACGTTTTGAAATCATTGTTTATGTCATTGGTTAGACCTATCTTGATGTTTGCCTCAACTGTGTGGTCCATACGTCATCATTTGATAAGGATGAAGATCATACTGCATACGTTTTTTAGAATTATTGCGTTGAAAATGCATCTGCCTGATCCATTCATTTATAGATCATCATTACAGTTTAATGTGAATCAACTCAAAATACCATCTCTTAGATCCTTTAGAAATCTCGGAGATTCTCTTATCCTTATCAAACTGATTACAAACTATTTAGATTGTTCTTTACCTTTGAAAAGGGTTCATTTTAAAGTTCCTCCTGCCAACACAAGGACATCAATTATGTTTGAGATAATATATTGTAACTTTTTCTCTTTGACAAGCAGTCCAATATCATGAATGAGCAACTTATGTAATCAGTTGAAAATGGATACTCTGGTGAATTGCATACTCGAATATAAAATTCTTTGAAGAATTTATTTTTGGAATATGATTTTTTTGTTGTTTCGAAGATCTATTCTTGTTAATATTTGAAATCTCTATCATAGTAATGGATAGCTTCGTTATGAACTTATGTGTTTATAAAGTATTAATGTGTCTATCACCTCACTAATACATGTACTATTATAATTTTGTAAACAAGGACAGCATGTCCGTTTATTAAATAAATAAATGGATAAATAAAATGCAAGCATTTTAGAGATTTGCTCTGTTTTGATGTAAATTGAAGACATGGAAGATTGATTTAATATTATAGCAATTTCAAATGCCTATGAGATGAAGTTTCTGAATTCAATTTTCATTTGGAAATATAATCTTGAAATAAAATTCAAATATTTGATATCAATAAATCTACCAGTTTTATTATTGTAGAAGAGAACATGCAATCATTGTTCTGATCAGCACTTGTGTTCCTTTATTACACTCATTATTAGTAAAAATGACACTAACATTTTTTATTTATTTTGCAGGTGCTGTTGAAAAGGCAATGCCGCAGTTAACTCATATTTTGCCTGATTATATGCTAGTTTTTGCTGTACCTGTATTAGCCCATGATCCTGAATTTACAACATTTGATGATGTAGATTACTTAAACAAAATTCGGCAATGTTTATGGTTTGTTCTGGAGCCACTTATCACAAAAAATGATATGTACTGCTTTGGATTTTATAAAAATCTCATTGATAAAATGAAACATCACAAAGATGCAATCAAAGGGGAGGATGATACAGTCAATTATGTAAGTAATAATGATGTTATATTTGAGTATAATATCGCACCTCCAATAGAAAAGTGACAGAAGTGCGAATTTCTGATTTCTCAGAAATTGAAATTTTAAGTTTCGTAGTTCTGTAATACTCGTTATAGATTGTACCAAATATTCACCATCTAGTGGGCAGTAATTGAACTAATCAACTTCAAATACTTCAGAATAGAAATCAACTTCAGAATAGTAGCAGTCCCTCTTGGTTACCTCTTATTAGCTTTTAGCTGAAAAATGTTGATTTTGCACTTGTGTCACTTTCCTATTGGAGGTGTGATATAGTGTGCTATGAACAATATGCTACCCCCAAATACTTGGAAATCAGTGACTTGCAATGGCAGCTCAGATGTGTGCAGAGAAGTCTGTGTAAACATGCCGAGATGTGTTGGAAAATGTAGTTGCTTATAAAACGATTGATTGTATTGTTTAGAGCAAACCTGTTCATGAAACCGTTTGTGCGGCCTAACTTGTGCTGGACAGAGGTGCATCCTGAGTATTGATCCTAAGGCTCCCTCTCTCAATATATAATCAGAATTGATCTCTGCGTGCAACAGAAATAAATTATAGCGGTTAATCTAAGTTTGCAGTAAATACATTTGGTACAGGTTTTGAATGAAATAAAACTTTTTGGGGCCTCAATTATGACGGTACTTGTGGCAGTTTGCCCCACTTCTGGGGGGAGCGTGCAAAGGGGTGTTTGCGAAGGGAAGGTGAAGTAGGGTGATGAAGAGAGGAGGGAAAGCAAAGTTAAAAAGATAGGGATGAAGAGAGGCCTGTTTATCGCTTGTAAATGTAAGAAAAGGGTAGGAATATGTCAATGAAGAGGGAGGAAAGATCACACGCACCACAGCCTGTTTGTTAGGATACTGCTCTGGCATTCGCTTTCTGTTAATTGGAAAAAACATGGAACACTATCGGTCAGAGAAGCTGTGCTAGAATTCTCTTGCAGATGGTGGCTGAATTCCATTTGTCTAGCTAGAGTTAAAAATCCTACCTGTCAGGACTCTAATCATAGGACCTCTGGGTCAGAGGCAGTTTCATCAGTTGATGCCCTGAGCCACTGTTGCTGGTGCCTTCATGTATAAGTGACCATTCAACTTACCCTTAACCTTTGTAAGGTAGTTGACAACCACAATGGTTCACTGAACTAAGGAGGAACTTGTCTCTTTTTTAAGTCAGGGTGTCACTGAGGTGTCTAGGATCAACAGGAAGTGTGTGTGTGTGTGGGGGGGTGCGTGGGTGCGCGCGTGTGTGGGCGCGCGCGCGTGTGTGTGGGGCGTGCGTGCGTGCGTGTGTGTCTCGCTCGCTCTCTTGCTCTCTCTCGACTGTTCAAGGACTGTTTTCTGAAATACATAAAATTCCTCAGAGCATTTCTTATTTTGACTGTTAACTTGGGTCTCCTGGTTTATGCCTAGTTGCTTTTACTGTTAAGATAATAAAGATGGCCAATGATCCAACATTTTTTTTAGACAGACACTAGTAAAAATCGTACTTTCATGGCATATGTAGCCTCCTACAAGTTCAATTTTTAAAGCTAGTGCTACCAGTAAGACCATGCTCAAAGTGAATGCAACTATGGAAACAAAATAATTGCATCTAGCCACATCAGCTACTACCAACCGTGATGTATCATTAAGTGATTTGTGTGATGAAAATAAAATGAAAATCATTAAGGCTGTCTAAAAAATAGTGTGTAACACATATGGTTAAAGTGAATTTATTTTTCTCGTGTGGTTCCACCATTTGAACTGTTAGCCACGATTCCTACTCTCAAAATAAAATGTAACTTTTACCATTTGCTATATATATAAATAACTATTCTTTGGCACAACATATAGTGTTTGTATTTGATATTTAATGTTTTCTGTAACGTCGTAAGTTTGTCAGTATTCATTATTCATGCTTTTTTTCCCCTTTGGATAGAAACTTTGGGCAGTTTGTGATCTTGCGATGGCATTGATTCTGTCCAAATCAACAAATTATGATCTGAAAGAATATCCCACTGAGGCCCGCATCCCAACAATGTACTTCCGTCGTCATGAGGATGGGCTTTTTGTGAATACAAAGATATATATACCTGTGGAACTGCAGTTCCAACCTCCTAAGAAGACTGGTTTACCACTTTCCGTACCCACAGAAAATAAGGGAGCAAGGAAAACAAGAGGAAGGACATTAAAGCAAGATAAAGGAGTTGGATTGAATGAAACTGATGTTAAGGTATTCTTAAGAATTAAGGTGTTAATTTTTTTAATTTTATTTTTGAGAGATTGTTCAGCTTTGAGATTACGGAATTTTTTAATTTTAAAAGAAAATATCTTGACAATAACAGTGCTAATAAATCTGCGGTGGGCAGAAAAACAGAGCTAAAATAAAATGAACACAGAAAGTGGCTGTGTTCTCTGTTATGTAGAAACTGGTCCTATATTTATTTCCCTGGAACAAGTATAATTAGAGAAAGTCAAATATTTGTTGATTATACTGGTATAATGGAACATTTATAGAACGTGGATGATAATTGAAAATGATCGCTTAACCAAGGATCATATGGCATTAAAATTCATATAATAAAGTTACACAAAGACTTTTGCCCCTGATTAGTAGGCTTTCCATCATACTATGGAATTTTGGCAGATTACATTATAACACAATCCAAAATATTTTGTGTGCAGCTTATCAAGTTACCTACCAAATGGTCAAACACGTCTTGTGTAACTTCGTTATAAAATTTCCCACCACATGTTTTGCCAATGCAAAAAGTAATCACCTTTGTGACCTTATATACCTTAGAAGGTTGTAACATTCAATCTGAGTAACTCTGTTTATTAGTCACTTTTATTCTCTTCACTTTGGTTTTGAAAAGGTCATTGCACTTCATATGCTTCTGTTAAGTTGATGCCAAGTGATTTAGCTCCATTTTTCTGCTAATCACAGAAATATTTCATAGAGCTTTCACATTTGTCAGCTAAGAGAAAGGTACTTGCATTACTAATATGCCAGATTAAATTAACTTAAGATTGTATTAATATATGTATTTATATCGGGTGTATATATAATTTTCAAACCATGAAATAATGCAGAGTATAATGATCATGAAGTGGTTAGAAATGGTGGGATGCAAATAATAATACATATATTAGAGAAACAATTTTTATTGACTCAGAATAAATTTATAAAATGAACAGAATTTGGTATCCTGAGTGTTTGCTGTATTTCTGTTTACATTGAATTTGTATTGTTATAAAGGCATCTGCTACACTCCCTGACATATGAGAATACTCTGTGAAATTTCTATCACCTCTGAGCACTGTTAAGCAGTAAACAGCAGATGAAGGTTTGAAAGCAAAAAGTTTCATTGTTTCTGGTGACAATTTTGCTGCTGTAATTCATGTGGAGAATAACCAAATTACCATATTTACTTGTTTTTTTTATTGTATTATTCTTGTAATTCCTGCAAACTGATTTGTGAAGTTTTGAGTAGTTAAATAATTTTTAACTCAGCACACCTAAAGCAGCTGAATGGTACAATGCAGCAGAAAAGTTGTAATTTGTGCATTCTGTCATTTTGCTAAAACCTGCAGCACATACAGTAAACACTTTTTGATATGATGAACAAAACGACAACTTATTTCATATTCAGTACCATGAATAAATGAGCAGATCACTTTTAAAATGCAACTTCGAACTTTAAATTTTTAACCATGCAGAGAATTGTACAAGCACTTACCTATATGAATAAGGACACATTTTCCACAATATTCTTCTGACAAAAGATGCAATAAAAATCTGTTTATTTCCACTCCATTCTTATTTCATCCACAACTTGCCTTGACTGTATCATCTTTATGTATAAAGTAATGCTGTGACATTGTCTCTGTACCTGCAAGTCAGTTTGTCAGTATATATTTACATGTTCTTTTGTGGAGTTTGAAAAGTTTTAAAAATGGGAAATTACAATGATAAAATACATAGTTTAAAAACTATTTATTAGAAAGAAAATAATTTTGTATGGAAAAGAAACTAATCATGAAGAACCAATTGTGATGCGTTTTTTATTTTTTATTTTATTTATTTATTAATTATTATTATTATTTTTTTCCCATGGTGAATAGTAAAATGACCATTCACCTCTAATTTACTTCTTCCATTCAACCCATTTGCATTCGACAAAATTATGAATTTGCTATTTTCACAAGTAAATATGGTATATTTTTTTCATATGCATCGCGGATATCCGTTTCATGTTCAATGTCAGAGCTTTCCTCAGAATTTAGCTGCAAAATTAATTTGTATCATTTGCTACAAAACACTGTTTCCTTTTGGATATTTTTGCCTGAATGCCATCACTCTTTTTAAAAATATTTTATGTGTATTCCATTAAAAGAATGTAACAAAGACATTGATAAAGTTTTAACAGTACTTGTTGAAAAATTGAAATTTTATAGAACGTACTTGTTAAGAATGCATTCTTCTAATATTTGTAGTTCATCAGACAAGCATTTCCTTCCGCTTTCTAATGATATCTGCTCTTCCTAACTTGGTTTACTAAAATGACATGAATTTGAACTGCATATGCAGTTGGTATGAGTAGAGTGCTGCATGACTGTTTGCTTGAGTCTTACTGGAAATGCATGACAGTAAATATGCACGGTTGGAAATACATTTTTAACTGGTTATGTAATAATGCCTCTGTCAGTTAGTTGAACCATGTGAATATTCCTTTACTTACAAAATATAGATGACATAACACATTATGTTTATTTAAATCTCTAAGGAAATTTAAAATGAATGTTTTCTAACATGAAACCCATGCTAGTTTTATTAAGTCATCAGAACTTTTTCAAGATAAAAGTTTTTTATGACTACTTGGTCTTGTTTAATGAAATGTAATTTATTTATTTCTATTTTCGGTGATGGCTGTTTTTAAATTCATTCTCCCCCTCCCCCGTATTTGCATTTTAGATTATTCAACCAGTATTTTTTTCTTCCCTTCTTAATTTATTAAATCAATTAATTCTTTCAAACATTATCTTTTTTCACACTTCTGCTAACTATTCCTCAAACATGTAATAATATATTAATATGAATACGTGTGAATCCCGAAATATGACACACAATTTAATTGTTATATTTTGAATGACTTCTGTTTGTGACTAACTGGAGTTATCTAGAGATGCAACTAACAAGAACGCCTTTAATGAAGTAAATGATAAGTTTTCTTATTATTAGTAGTATATCACGTATTTCTGAAGGGATCACCTTTTTTCTGTTCTGTGCAGCAAGAGGATGGAGCTGATTGCATTGACGCAGAGGTAATTTCTAGTAAATAAAATCCATGGTTATACCACATTCTGTTAAATTCTGATTTCTAATTTATAATAATTTTCAAAACCCTATAATTAAATTGAAAAACATTTGACCTTTGGTTATAATTACATTAGATATTCCAAAGAAAACAGCAGAATGTGACATAGCTGACTATAATAAATAACTTAAAAAAAATAATGTCTTTTCTCAACTTTTCTTATTCAATAAGAATAATTATTATTTTTATTATTTCCATTTTATATACATATTGGATAATTGTAAAATATATTTTCCTTCATTCTTGATTATTTACCCCCTTTAATATTGTTTGGAAATGTCCTTTTAAAGACCAGAAATTAGTGATTTTCCAAAACTGGTGCTGTCAACTTAATTGCTTTTTTTTTTTTTGGTGAAGTTCATCATTTCATATTTGTGAAAGTTAACCAGAAATATGTTGCTTCCAGAAAGGGGTGGGGGAGAAGCTGCAATGTTGCATGCTCTCAAGTCTTATGTCGTGATACGATTACTGAGTTGTAAAGATGAGTTGTAAATGCTATTAGTTTTGTTATACAACCTTCTATTTTCATTTTACAGTTGTTTCATCAAATACAAATTGATGATATTTTCATTATTGTCAATGTTTATCTTGAAGGTGATGAAATAATTATAATAATAATAATAATAATAATAATAATGAATATTTATTATTAATATATGATAAAATATTTATATATTTATAATAAAAAATTGGTAATATTGATGAAAAGTTTAGGTAATTACAGGTTTTGTCATTTTATTTAGATTTCTGGAACAGACATACATGCGTAAAAATTCATGTGTGAGTAAATAGATTCAATATAAATAGTTTTGATGCTTGAACACCTCCAAATTCCAATCAGATTGCAGTGAATTACTTGACACCTTGAATGTTATGTTGTATAATTATGTTATATTTAGTTTTGTTTGAAATTATTTGTGTACACTTCCAGAGTAATAATTGCTTGTTTTTTATGCAACTGGGAACAAATTATTTAATATAACCACATTTTACGTTGCAGCCATCTGAAGCATCAGAAACAAAAATACAACTCCCTGGTATGGAGGAAGAGGTGGGTTTTTATAAATTTGTTAGTTAACAACTGTAAGTAATTTTTTTTTTTAATTGTTTGATGTTTGTTTTTTATAGTCAGAAACTGAATGTGGGGAACCTCCAGCGAAACGGCCAGCGCTGGATATGAGACAAAAAGTGGAATCTGTGTGACTTCTTCAGAACAACATTTCTTCAAAGAAAACAATGGAATGTAGTTCCAAAATGATTCTGATCCCTTCAAGTGACTCTTGCTTGGGTTGTCCAGTTTCAGTTGTACTGATTTGAATGGTGAGCATTGTGTGCAGTACAGCAGGATCTCTAGTCAGGCTGCTATTGCTACAATGACTGTTGAGTGTGTGTGAACAAGAATCAATTGATTTGCAAATGAACTTCAAAAACCACATTGTGTTTGGAGTGGCTGACGTCTGAGAAAAAGCATTTTAAAAGTGTGGAATGAGCTTAGTGAACGTATGTGTTATAGATATAGGAACACATCCAGGAGGAATTCCTTGCTCTGTGTTGCAGTTTTTCAGAGAAATGAACTCTGTTGAGAAGGTAATTGCTGTTGTATTTGTTACAAGCATTATATTGTTAAGAAGGGATTTTTCCAGATTATTGTGTTTGTTATCTTTTTATTATTTTTTTTTAATTTTTTTTTTACATTTGTTTCTTCTCTACTCTCTTGTAATTATAGGATCAAAGCTACTGCCAGTACACCTGCTGTGTCTCTATTGGTAGTAAATTAGCTATTTTGTATCTTTATACAAATATAATTTGTACACATCAGGCAACGTGCAAATTTGTGAAGGGCAATTCACGTCTCAGTGGTTAATCGAAAGCTACTGCAATCTTTTATCTTCAGTTTTGCAACAGTTCTTCTAATGGCAATTAACTTGATGCACTTGTATGCAAACGTTATCATGAATGAATTTGTCGATCTTTAAATTTCTTTTTTAAAATCAAGGTTTTATTTTTAAATATAATTTTTCTTGCGATAATTTTGATATCTTGTTTCTCATCACTTGTATTATTTCTCAGTGATATAATCTAGAATGCCAATGAGGTGACAGTTGTTGCCATGCGTATTATAGTGATAACAAGTTTTGCTGTACTTCTTTCTTTATATTTTAATTCTGTTCCCCAAAACACGTTTTGTATATTTACTTTTCATGAGAAGGCTTGTATTTACTAAAATAGCCATGTATTGTTTCTTAAAAGCAGTTTGAACTGTATGAAATGTATAAAGACTGTGTGAATATGTGTCAGTTTCATTACCCTAAAAAACAAGAGTTACTTGAAGGCGAGTGGAAGACCTTACAGGGCAAATGAAATGCTGGCAGCAGTAACAAATTCACGATCGAGTATTTTTTAGATACTTTATGACTAAGGACATTATACTATATTTTTAAAATATGCATTTGTACTGTTTGTGGCTCCAAGTGATGTAAAATGAATTTTTTTAGTATGTTGTGCATGGGATTCTTATTTATATTCAATTAGAATATGCAAATAAAATCTAGTTATTTTTTGAAGAGCTTATTGCTGCCAAGCATTCTTGGTTCTATTGGATTTTTTCTTGTTAATGTGTGGTCTAGAAACAGTTGCAATTGTGCATACAACTTGGCACCTTGCAGGAACTTTTCAAAAAAGAGAAAATAGGGGAAAAAAAGGAGGTATGGTTTGCAGCACGGAGTTAGCATGTAGTATTATTTCATTATTTCTGAAATTTATTAATAAATATAAAATTTTTGTCCAAATTTGTGTAGTATTTTCATTCAATATGCATATGTCACCTTATCAATTATTTCTGTGGGCTATCATCTGATAGAATTTTGTAAATCAAAAAGAAAATGCAACTGTGTATACATTTATTAACATTTTGATTGAGGAACTTCTGCACATGTTTAGAAGAAGAATACCAACAAGATAAAACATCATTCTTTTGTTAATGTTGTAACAGTAATACGAACATTCATAAATAGCTAGATAACCCGAATCTTCATAACACAAACTCAGACTTTCGGTCCTTTGGAATTCGCATTAATGAGTTTACTGTAGTTTCATAAATAGGGATGGATTTTAATTAAAGAGTTATCTTTTTTCCTTTTCACATTACAACAATGCTTTTTAGTATACACACTTTTATGTCATAACAATTTTTATATGACCTTTTTGAGGAATAAGTCATTTTTTAAGCATATTTGGCTGAATTCATAGATTTTAATATCATTTTAATAGAACTTGCTTCAAACAATATTTATGAGATCCAGTGAATGTTCTCCACAGAATTCCTGAGTGGCATATTCGATTTCTTCACTTAGAAATTGTAATGTCATCTGTTGTATGTGATCCATGCTTCTGTAATATCTATCAGTGTCATTGTTGGATAGGCCGATTTCATGATAACTTAAGGCAGATATCCTGGTTAAAAACAGTTCAAAAGAAAAGTTTGCAAAACAATTTTTTGTTTTGATTGACAAAACTACAGATGTAGGGGTCGGAATGTTATTCTTCGGCCTCTTGAACCACACGCATCAGATAAGATTTGCCTTTTAACTACAGACTTTTTGGTGAATTATAGAAACTTCATGTTTTTAATGAATTATAATTTTTTAGTGATAAATTGATCTTATTTAATATTTACCCTAATATACGCTATAAAGTGCATTAGAAATTAATTTATTAAAATGAACTAAAAACCAATATCATAATAAAACATTGTTTCCCCAAAATCCTCTGAACTGGTTTTGATCAAAATTTTTGTCATTTTTCTTTGCTTTCAGGGCAAATCTTTTAAGAGCAGTTTATTGATAAGTTTTGGGATTGTTTTAGGTTATCAAAATCCACCCCTAGAAATAAATATTTAAATTTCGTGAGGATATTTCAATAACTCCTTACAACCTCCCCTCAGTTATCATTGGTTGTGGGAATGCTCTCCCACCTTGAAGATTAAATTGCTTTTTCAATGACCTAAATATCTACTAACTGATATGTTCAGCAGCTGTATTTAATGGGCTCAGAAAAAATAAACATTGATGGGTTATATCATCATTTTACCACAGAAGTGGCAAGGTATATGACCAAACAAAATTATAACTAGTGGTGCTACAGAATGGCACAGTTTCCCATGTTAGTTTTCTATTTCCTGTGATCTCAGTTAGCTATTTAAACTTGCCACATATTTTTGCCTGCTGCCATCTATCGCCGCCAAAAGTACATTTTTTTGACATTTTCTTAATTTTTCGGTTTCTTATTAGTGGAGCAGAAATATTATTTTAAGATTATTAAAGAACAATAGAACCTTGTCCTAATTGGAAATTTTCTTTGAAAAATTTGGAGCTGTTTTCAAAAAATTGGCATTTAAGTGCTACTGTAAATTTGAAATTTGAAGGTTTTTAACAGAAATTTTTTGAGTTTTAGAAAAACTTGAATTCAATTTGAAGTCATTTTATGTACTTTAACTCACAAATACACTAGTGTTTACAAATTGCTGGGAATACGTAAATCAACGGTGTGAAAGATCTTTCAAAAATTTTACATTAGTGTAATTTTTGAAGAAAAAAATAAACCGAAATTAACTTTACATCATTTACAAAAAGTGCAATTACCACTATCTGTTCAAAAGATTTGAAGAAAAAATTTGAAACCATTTTTGAAAAAATGGCGATTGAGCGTTTCTGAAAATGCGGAGTTTTGAGCTACTATTCACAGAAAGCAGTTGAGTTTTCGAGAAACTTTATATGACATTATTTAAAGCACATATACTCATAAATACAATAATGTGAACAAATTTCCGCCAAAATAAATATTAACAACATGAGAGACAAGTCAAAAAATTACATTTTTGTAGTTTTTGAAAAAAAAATAGAATAGAGCTATACGGTGTTCTTCAAAATTAGGGGAAAATTTACATTTTCAAAATTTTATCAAACGGCTCAAAATGTTTTCTTCAAATTACTTGTAAGAATAGAGTAACACACTTGTGTAAGTCCAATTTTCACGATTAGCTCTTGAATTTTTGAAAATTTTAAAAGTATGCATTTTTTTCCGAGTCTTCCTACTACTACAAAATTAAAGATAGAGATTTTTTCTTCAAATACAATGTGTTCCCCAATCTTTCATTAAGGTCAAGTTCATTTTTTTAAACTTGTAGTACTTTTATTGCATGCAACATGTGCAATTTTAAAAAATTTCAAAAGGAAAATTTTCTCAAAAACGCATACAAATTTTTCCTTTAAATTTTTGATGGGGATAGTGCTAATTGTATTCTATAAGATGACAAACACCATATTGCTCTATTTCGTTATTTCAAAACTTTCAAAAATGTAATTGTATTTATAATTCTTTCACATCGTTAATATTTATATTAGCAGCAATTTGTTCATATTATTTTATGTACTCAACATTTCAGATTTTGAGAAACGCTCAAGCGACCTTTTCTCAAAAACAACTCCAATTTTTTTCTTCACACTTTACCAACGGGTAGTGCTAATTGTACTGTTTAATATGACGTAAAGTTCATTTCGGTGTATTTTTTGGTTTTTCAATAAATACACAAATGTAAATTTTTTGAAAGATGTTTCACGCTGTTGATATGCACATTTCCAACAATTTGTAAACACTATTGTATTACACACTAGTGTAACGGAGAGAATAAGAAACCAACTACTTTGAGTGTGTGCAACTCTGAACTCTGTAGCATCACTATTTTTTTTCTTCTTTCTTTTATTGAAATTCACCAAAGTCTATTCTCCCAAATTACAAATATCTAGATATAGTTTTAGGGGACACCTTTTTTCAAAAGGATTGTAACTAATTAGAAAGTACATTCAAAATTCATTAGCAAATTATGACACTTATACTCTCTCCTTTTTTTTGTGTGTGCAGAAAATAAATCTTAATTTTGGTTGAAAAAAGTACATGAACTTAGTGACCACAGAAACTTATGTGCCTGCCTGATTGTTGTCACTTTCATTATTCATCAGGGAATTAACTTATTTAGGAATATACAATGTTTTATTAGGTAAAGCTAAGGGGCTCCTTTGAAAATTGTAGGGAGGGGGCATGAGCAACCAGTGCATATGCTCAATAAATCTCAAAAATAGTAATTCTTGTTTCAATTAATGAAGCAATATTTTTACTAATAAAAATTTCAGACAAAAAGCAGCTGGAATATAGAGTGAAATAATTTCTCTCTTTCACCATTAAATACATGGCTCTGCTCAAATTAAAACCATTCATATGCGAAATAGCTTTTTAATTCAATCTCTTTGTGCTCTGAACACTTGTGGAGATCCCAGGCAAGACTTACCAATTAAATTGACAATGTAGTTATCAATATCAGAGCACAAATATTACTAAAGCACACTGGATGGTAAGAATCTGTAAATTGTTTTATTCCTTCTGTGATTCATCGTTAATACTTGGTTACAAAAATCCACTTTTGATAAGGCAATAGGCAGAATGCACATTCATTTATAAGAACCACAGGCCCTCTAATTTGTAATTTATGTGTATTTGAAATTATGTAGGAATCATAAATGTTTTTTTAAGAAACATACATGTTAGATTATATTTTGTATACCTTTAATAAAATTAATTTCAAATTTTGTTTACTTAAAAATAAACTATACACAACATGAAATTATAACACAATCTGTTATATATCAAATCAGCCTGATTTGTGAAAGCTTAATATTAATTATTATTGCACCAAGTATTCCTGAGGAGTACATTTCACATCCAACACTAAATGGTCAATATGTGGTGCATAGGATTTAACACGATGTAGATTACAGATTTGTAATTTCCAAACTTGTTCATGTACTGAACAAAAAATATCACTTAATTTATGACACACATGCAATGACCATAATTTCCATTCCATTTGTTTCCATTTTATCGACACATTTGTAACAGGAATTACAGTTTTAGAATGAAAAATAAATGATGGTTGAATTCCTACATCAGAACAAAATTTATTATTGTTCAAATCTTTTTCATTAGGATCATAGTTGCAAAGAATATCCACACAATCTTTACAACCAAATTTATCGTTTGTTATTTTCTTATTCTTGATAGACGTGACGTTTCCATGGATATGTAAGACACCACCAGATATAGGATTTAATGCCTCACAAGCAGCTTGCCACCCTGATTCTGAAGATGGTAGCAAACCTAAATTAACTCTATCAGCAATGCCTTTTGGACAGACCAATCTACTATCTCCTTCATAAACAATACATTTACTGGCAACCTTATTAATGCTCAAATTAATTTTCAATGCTTTAACAGCCCTTGGATTCCACTCGCAAGCATATACCAACTTTGCTTTGGCTTTAACTAAATATGGAAGGGTAAAGTAACCGATTCCAGCATACATGTCTACAACAGTTTCTCCCTCACAGAGAAAAGTCGCAATCCTATGACGTTCTGGTGCATTTCCTGCACAAAACATATTGAATTGTACATCCCAAGTGAAAATAACACCATTATCTTTAAATTCAACCCAAGAATTGACGCCGTACACTAATTTTACGTTAGGTGAACGAAATGAATCTTCCGATATAAAATGCTTAAAACCAATACGTTTTGCTTTTAATGCCTTACAAATACACTGCCATAAATTGGGAGTATGTTTCCATCGATCATCACGAAAATATTTTTCACCATTAAACAACAATAAATCTCCATATTTTTCCCAAGATGTTGGGATGTCTGAGGTAAGTGTTTCTTCCCATAACCCTTCTTCTTCCATTAATTGTTTCACCATAATCTGCAATATACCAGCAGGGGATTTTCTTGACATTACACGCTTGATATCACTTGACATCTTCATACAACAAATTAAACTGATATGGGCACGACAAAACAATTTCAATTCATTGCACTCTTAACTACGATACTGCGAATTCCCCGTAACCCGCGCATGTACCCTTTCAAAAGCCCTTACAGCAGTCCCAACGCCATCAAGCTAATCCAGGCCATTACATCCTTTCGTGTTCTACGAGGCCAGGTCTGTCTATAATTTTATTGTGGGCATAACCACGCATACCCATACACTCTGTATCCAGGGCAATAATTACTGCATGCTACTTGTTGAGTATATTCCTCCATGTATGGGCATGAAACTACTGTTAAATTTCGCGAAATTACTCTGCTGCAGTGCTACCCTCACACGGTTGGCTCGCAAAACAACTATATGGTGGGGGTATAACGACCTCCGTCAAGCTGGCGCTAGCACCTCCACTTCTCAGAAATCAACTTGCGTATAATTTTGTATTAATTATGTACGGAAATTTTTAAAAAAATGTACTCAATTACAAACAATTGAAAACGACATGTTAAAGTGGGGCGTCACCTTACTGCTTTTGTAACCAAAATAAAAAAAAAGTACTTTATTAACAGTTAAAAAAGGGTGCTAATGAAGCACTTTTCGCGTACATTTACGATTTCTTTAAAAATCACATTGAGTCAAATCTCAAAGTATAATTTTAGTACCATGGCGTTCTTTTACGTTTGACAATTTTTAAATTTTATCTGGTTCCCCAACAGAAATATTACTGTTGAAAATTTGAAAAAGAATACAAGTCCAATATTAGAATATTATTAGCAGGATTTTTGTGTGTATGTACATTTTTGTGTGTTGTGTGTGTGTGTGTGTGTGTGTGCGCGCGCGCGCGCGCGCGTGTGCGTGTGTGTCTGAGTGTCTGTCTGTCTGTCTGTGCATAACGCTAGCGCATAAACCGTTCAATATATTTTCTCCAAAATTGATATTCCTCTATCGCTATAGCTGATGTCGCGGCCCCTGGGATTTGAAACCGATATTTTCATTTTGGAGGGCACTTTACGTGAAGCCCCTGAGACATTTTCAAAATAATGGCTCCAAATTTTTTGTATAAGTTTGTTTCGTTCGATAGTGCGAAGAACATTTAAAAGAATATTGCAGGTCACATTTTCGTTGACATCCCCCATTTATCGAAAATTGGAAAATAATTTTTAAAACTTAAAAATTGGAGATATAGATGTTCGTCTTGGAGAGTCTGTTGAACAAAATTAGCACTTTGAAAAAGGCCACGTTCATTTATTTTTTTTTTTGAAAAACTAGTAGTTTTGCGTTACTTCCATTTCAAATGTACATTTTTTCTCAAAAAACCCTCCACATTTTTCTTTAAATTTTCATTTCTGTAATAAGAGACTAAAACAAGATGGTGGGTATTACTCGGTTTTTCCATTTTCGAGTATTGCTCGTTTTTTTTCAAAAATTGCAAAAAAAACCCATATCAAAACAACAAAATTGAAGACATATTTTTGGCTCGGGCAAAGTCTGCTACAAAATAAGTTATTTAAAAAAATATTATGAACAATTTTTTTTAAAACTAGTAGCTTTTGCGTAATTACTGCCTGAAATTAATGAAATATATAGGTTTCACACTAAGTGCCCCTAGAAAAATTGAATGAATGATATGAAAAATTATTTAATTTTAATTTACTATTGAAAATGCCAATATTAATATAGTTTTTACCTAGTCACTTTTTACTCAATTTGTATTCCTAATGTATTTTGCGCGAAGAGCGAACTAAATTATTTAAACATTTCGAAAATTGCTGAAAGTTGAAACCATCACCCTGTAGAGCACGAACATGTCATACCTGCCTTTTTAATGCTTAATAGAAATATCGCAACAATGCGGCATCGATAATTTAGAAGTTAATTGTGTATCCATTGCCATATAGTGTACCCAGAGGCCGATTTAGCGTTAAGCTAAATAAGTTACAACATGACGTTTCGGAGTGCAAGGAGACTCAAAAACGATTTACTCGAAGACCAGCATATTCATTTTCATCATTTACGTTTTGAACTTGTCGAGTGAATGACAAATTCCTTTAGGTCAAAATCCGCCACAGCGGCTGTCTCAAATGGCATCTTTTGATATACCCGACGTTTGGCCCATTCAAGCACAAGCAGTATAAAATAATAAAACGGGCAGGCAGTTCAGTCCATAGAAGTGCGTCCTTTATTTTGTAAATTCAAAAGAGTTAAAAACGAGTGTTGAGCTACCATGAAACTAGACAAACGCAACCAAACAAATCCATAAATATCTCCAACATAGTACTAAGTTTAATGTCTAATGCTAAATGGAGCAGATTATTTTAATTTTATAACGAAATATCAAGTTATTTTAAATATCTTTCATGTTTGCGTGGTATATAATTTGAAAATGGAGGGTAAATGTTGACCAGAACTCATAGTCCATAGTCAGTAGTGTACCAAGGCGATGTACCAGTGTACGAAGGAGATGCTTAGTTACTTCTTCGTGCTACTCATCAAGGAGTAACTGCAAGGTTCCTAATGGATAATGATTCCAAGTGGCCGTGAAGAAAATCAGTCTGAGAGTTATTATATCGTTATTCTTAGCGTTCCGGTCCACCTTTCTTGTGCGAACAAGTGACAATAACTAGGTGCATGTGGTGTTCAGCTTGATTGAAAAGGAGAGTTTTCCGAAAACGGCAAGTACATTTTTTTGAGGAAGTGTTTATAAAGAATTAAATAATGGCTTCCATGCCGGGAACTTTAGCTTTCGACGAATATGGTCGGCCATTCATTATTATTCGAGATCAAGAAAAGCAGAAACGACTGACGGGCGTAGATGCATTGAAATCTCATATTATGGCAGCTCGTTCAATTGCCAATACTTTGAAGACTTCTTTAGGGCCAAAGGGTCTCGATAAAATGATGGTTTCGTCTGATGGAGATGTTACTGTTACAAACGATGGAGCTACAATTTTGAAACAAATGGATGTTGATCATGAAATTGCTAAATTAATGGTTCAGTTGTCTCAATCCCAAGATGATGAAATTGGAGATGGAACAACTGGCGTAGTGGTACTTGCTGGTGCCCTTTTGGAACAGGCTGAACAACTTTTGGATAAAGGTATTCATCCAATCCGAATTGCTGATGGATTTGAACTAGCTGCTGCTTGTGCAGTTCGCCACCTTGAGAAGATTTCAGATAGCTTTCCAGTGGATGTCAATAATCTGGAGCCATTAATTCAAACTGCGATGACAACACTTGGTTCAAAAATAGTTAACAAATGTCATAGACAAATGGCTGAAATAGCTGTCAATGCCGTCATGACTGTCGCAGATATGGAAAAGCGTGATGTCAACTTCGAGCTCATTAAAGTGGAAGGAAAGGTGGGGGGAAGATTGGAGGATACAGTTCTTGTAAAAGGTGTTGTTGTGGATAAAGATTTTTCACATCCTCAGATGCCTAAAGTTTTACGTGATGTAAAAATTGCCATCTTGACTTGCCCATTTGAACCACCAAAGCCGAAGACTAAGCATAAGTTGGATGTAACTTCAGTGGAGGATTATCGTGCATTGAGAGAATACGAACAAGAAAAATTTGATGAAATGGTGAAGCAGGTGAAAGATGCTGGAGCCACCTTAGCGATTTGTCAATGGGGATTCGATGATGAGGCCAATCATTTGTTGTTACAAAGACAACTTCCAGCTGTGCGTTGGGTTGGAGGTCCAGAAATTGAACTTATTGCTATTGCTACAGGAGGGCGTATTGTTCCTCGTTTTGAAGAATTGTCACCTGATAAATTAGGCTTTGCTGGGTTAGTACGTGAACTTTCATTTGGTACAACTAAAGATCACATGCTAGTTATCGAGGAATGTAAGAATTCTCGTGCTGTGACTATTTTCATTCGTGGAGGCAACAAGATGATTATTGAAGAAGCAAAACGTAGTATACACGATGCATTGTGTGTTGTACGAAATTTGGTTGTGGACAATCGAATTGTGTATGGAGGTGCTGCTGCAGAAATCTCATGTGCTATTGCTATATCTGAAGAGGCTGACAAGATTTCTTCTCTGGAACAATATGCATTCCGAGCCTTTTCTGATGCTTTGGAGAGTATCCCATTGGCTCTCGCAGAGAATTCAGGCCTCTCACCTATTCACACACTTACAGAAGTAAAAGCTCGACAGGTAAAGGAAGGAAATCCTGCTCTTGGCATTGACTGTATGCTGAAGGGAACTTGCGATATGAAAGAACAGCATGTTATTGAAACATTACATAGCAAGAAACAGCAAATTGTATTAGCCACTCAGTTGGTGAAGATGATCCTTAAAATTGATGATATTCGATCTCCAAATGATAGCATGGGATTCTAATAACTTCAACTTGAATATTGCTGTGAAGTTGTTTCCAAGAAAGACAGCTTGATTACACATAATTGCTTCTTTTCACTCATCCTCCAATGTAACACGAATCTTTTTAATTGCAAAGTTTTTTTGAAAGCATGGTTGTAACAAGTAAATGCTTCTTTCGAGAATATAATAATTTAATATTTTGTTCTGAATAAAACAATGTTCACAACTTCATTTAATTTGTTTTTGATCATAGTGATGCTAAGTTTATTACTGATTTTATACCAAATAATAATGTGTGAAGGAACTTGCTAAATAAAATAATTTAATTTCAGAAGTATTGATTTTTAATTTCTCAAACACCTTGTACTTAGTGAATATTTTTTTTTGTTTTGCTAAAACTTGAGCTCTACAGTACTATTCCATTTGTATTTGCCAACAATTTACGATTGCTTCAAAGACAAAAACTGTTTCTATCCATAAACATTATCTGTGAGCAAATTGTATATTAACTCAATATTTATTGTTATATAAAAACTGACAAAACAATAAATCTCTATCCCAACTAACTTTTTGAAAAATGACATCTTGATTGTTTAAGTTCTTTTTATGTTAATTGTCAACCACTTTTAATTTGGTAATTATGTACCATATTGATATTTTTATGTTATTGTTTGCTTAACTTCAGGATTATGTTTAAGGAACATGGTAGTAGCGAAGCTGTTTTGGTAAAGCTTTAGTATTATGAGTGCACATACCAGGGTGCATTGATTTATTAGTGTTATGTCACATGAAAAAGGAAAAATAATTTGCCATTTAATCAACCGATTACAATATATAGTTTTTAGTCAAGGTTGATTTTGAGAAATTGTTTTTAATATCTTAAAATTTTATCTCCTAAATTTGGGGAAAAGTAAATAATGTATTCCTAATAACATTGTTTGTGGGTGTCACTACCAATTTTGTTAACTGTTCAATCCTATTGCAATTTTATTCCAAAGTCTTTAAGAGAGTTCCAGAGCAAAAACATTAACATCAACTCAAACGTTAATGAGCTGTTTTAGAAATTTCTTCACATGGGACCAACCAATGTAATTTATTTCAAAAGATATTTAGCAAACTGTTATTAAAATGCATCTTTATTTATCATAAGCCATAAAGAGGCAATATGCCATATGTGAACTGAATGCAAATGTCTGCAACTGCCTTCAAGTAATGCCATGATGAACAAATTTAATATTTCAGAAACCTTTCTAAATAAATTAGTTGTTTTCTAGGCATTGCAAAGCAATTATAATAATTGAAAGTTTATTGTGTAAGTATGTTAAAAATGCAGCTATAGTGTACAGTTCACGCAAATTTCACCCAGAAACAAAAATTACATTGCAATGCAGAAAATTAACCTATTTTTCTCTATATTTCTCATTTAATTAGTGGATCATCACAGTGTGGGATGATGGTTAAGGCAACCAGGCTATCCTATATAAAATTATTGTGGAGCCTAAATAGACACTACACACCCTATTACAAAAACAAAAGGTTTGTTTTTGCTTATCCCACAATACAGTGGTTCTTTCAATATTTCTGTGTGTCAAGTCTTTATATCAGATTATTCCAAAATATTCTTAAAGACTTCTGCACAACTCTGACCCTTTGGTGAACCATAAGAATAGAATATTGTATCAGGAAATGAAAATTCAACTGTATACAAGTTAAGCTTAGATCTCTGCATTATTACTTCTCAGGCAGGGTTATTTCAATATGTTTTATTCGCAAATATATCAAAACAGGAAAATTACTGAACTCGAACTCAAAAGTAATTAAAAATGCTACAATTTCCATTCCTATTGATGTACAAGACTCAAATAAAGGCAACCGCAGATTATGGTAATTACAATTATACAATTACATTATTTTATGAATTAAGTAGTATTGATACAAGTAAATATGCTGTAATTGCCAAGTTTGAAGTCATTACACATTTAAACATCTAAAGTTTAGAAGAGAGAAAACAGAAATATACAACTATGAGATTACTACAAATTATTAATAATTATATTTTATTGTCCATATAATTTGGTACACAAGTGTCAAAGTAATATTAATAATATATTTATCACATAAATACAGCACAAGCCAAATATGCCAAGTCATGTTACGTACATTATCATACAATGAACAAAACCTATCAAAATATTCAGAAATTCATATTAAATATGTGTTTGGTACTAAATACAATACAGAAAATTTTATGTAATTCTCAACACAATACAATGCATATCAATTTTATAAGAATATATGGTTCAACAAGAAAGCATTCAGTTCATTTTTTAATTGTGCATATTGAATTTGACTTTAAAATTCATTAGGGAATTTGTTTTATTGTGTAATGCCTATTATGAGGGAACTACATGAAAAGAGTAAAGTTCCACTATGAGGAACATGCAGATTTCTTTTTTGTCTACAATTGTAATTATGAACCCCTGCATTTAGGGTAACAGAATCCTTGTTTCTCATAAAGGGTCTTTTTTGTGAAGGTTGCAATTTCAAATATGTATCTGCAATGTGTGTGTGAGCAATCTTAACGTGATGTGGAAGTTTGTTAAATGTTATACTCTGTGGTAATTCTGCTGACTGCGAGTAGAATTTTTTATGTATTTCATTGTGGGATGGGCAAGTTTTTTGTAAGCATACAGGGCGACAACTGTTGGGATTTTATGTTTTAGGAGGTGCTTAATGTCTGCACTGACGAATCCAGGGGGGAACTCCACCAAAAGACTTTGTGTTTTTGTTTCCCTTCCTTTATGTAATAAAATTGATTTAAATATTCATGTATGTTCAAATTATGTAATTGTTTAAACAATCAAATTGTATAGATTATATATACAGTACTAGATAATATACAATATAATAACAAATATGTTTATTTTTTAACTAAACTCTATGATGACCCCCCCGTAAATGATCAGCTGGATCCACCCCCGGATGTGGCTACGGATGAAAGTCAGACTTTTCTTTGGGATCGCAATTGAAGATAAGAGTGAATAATTCTATAGTATAGGGAGAGAAGCATGTTTGAGGTGACAACAGCAGGAACACTTTGAAGATGAATAATCTACCAATAATACTATAATAAATCACTAGAAACAGGCTGTAAAGCCTAAGTTCTGGTCAGTTCATGATGATTATGAGTATGTTTGATGATAAATATTTAGAGAAATACCTTAGTCTATATTTAATTTGTTGCATATGTTTTCTATTTGTTGAATGACAGGTTCTGCTCTACGTATTCACCCAAAACTTTTTGATGCTGAATTTGATTAACTACTTTATCATTTGTGGCAACTTCTAGGCTTTGATTTATTTTTTATTTTAGTTGAAAGTTTATTAAGACTATTTTTTTAATATTCAGTTTAAGCTTGTTCTGCAATAGTGGTTTTCTTTATCAAGAATCTCATCTGTTTTTTAGGAAGACAGATTTTGCTCACTACGTATTATTGATGTATCATCAGCATGTGATATGGAATTGTTTGGGAAGTTTGGAAGGTATACAGTAGTGGAAGTCCTTTATAGTAAAAATAATTTAGGTCGTAGGACTGATCCTTGCGATACTACACCTGCACACAGTGCTGTAATTGGATTGTACTTTAATAGTGCTATTTGTGTTTTCCCATAAGATTTCCATACGTTATTTACAGCCAATTTAAGTAGGATTCAGTAAGGTAATTCATTTTACCTCTTATTCCATTGGTTTCAAGTTTCTGGAGGAGGAGTTCATGCAACACACTATGAAAGGCTTTTGATAAAACTAGAAAGTGAACTGCAGTCCTTAGTTTCATTCTAGATTTTTTTAAATTATATGGCAAAAGTTGCAAACTACAATGGAGATGAATTAGACTTTTCTAAATCCATGTAGACTATTTATATATATTTTTTTTTTCTCCCACCTCTAGAAAGCTATTTAGTCTAGTTATGACTTGAGTATACTGAAAAAACTTACTACACTAACTTACTACACTAACTTACTACTACTACATGCATCTGGAAAGGTAAAATACTTTAGTGAGCAGTTTGTTACATAGAATAAAATGATTATTAAAGCCGGTGGCACTTACATAGAACGATAACTGACTCACCATCTATACTAGTCGTTTTACTACTTTTACAATTATTAATTAGTCTGTCAATTTCAATGACAGTTATTGTCTGTTGTAGAAAGAGAATTCATCGCTCTTGAGTTGGTGTTATTGAGGTGGCAGGTTTGTAGGTTGACCAGATTCTCAATTTAGAAAGTAGTTATTGATGATATTATATGTAAGGATAGGATTATCTACAGTAAAATTGTTTTGGGTTTGAACGTTGCTATGTTTGGTGGTTTGTTTTCTACTTTGGTTGTTCGTGTTCCGCGTGGTTTTGGTTTTATCAACCTCTCAAGGAAAAACATTTCAACATTACAACTATTTATATTCTTAATAACACTGGCACATATGTAGAACATACATGTATTGTGAATTGAATTATTTGAAACACAGGTTTTCATCAACAGAAGTTGCTGATTTAACATTGATGAATTCAAACTGTGCTATCCAAGAGGCACAATAAGGTGAAAAAACTCATTTTTCATTTTAGATAGCTGTAGTTCTTAGCCTTTAATGGCTGGTTTTGAGATATATACAACAATGCACATGCAGTATGTATTATTTGCTCCAGTCACAGCTGTATGGACCACACAGGTTATGATTGAATGAGAATTTTTAATAATTTTTGAGAGAAGAAATATTGTGATTGGAATTACTCCTTCACACTGTAGATCATACTGACAAGTTGGATAGCAGTAACATGATTTTTAAATGTACATATGGTGTTTATGTTAGGAATCAGGGGCCAGTTCGTTAAACAGTGCAATGCCCTCTGTTAGGGTCCCCTTTTAACCAAGTATAGTTTCTGAACAGGGAAAATTTCTCAATATTCTTTGAGCGTTCTATTAATTATTAAGTTCTTGGAATTTTTTTTTTTGAAATACACTACCTATTTCAATTATACACATGCCCGATGAGGGTAGCGCCAGTTTTAAAACAAGGATTTTCAAGTTCCTGTTTCATAATTCAGCAAGTAGAGTGAAAGATAGGTGCGTAGGAATTCCGGATCCAGAAATCATCCATTGTTGTACGTATCTCGTGCTTGGAATTTTGCAATATTGTATTTGCATACCTATCATGATTTAAATATCTACTGTGGGGCAGTCTGTTCAACAGTACGCGCTGTGCTCTCACAATTCACTAATCAGCTGTGCGTTTTGAAATTGATTGCCGCAATTGCATAGCAGCAGAAGCTTAAAAGCAATAATCATGCCATAAATGGCTCCAACCCCTTCCTTTTGCCCATGAGCATCCCAGTTTTTAGTCCCGGTGGTCCACAAGGGATCTATACTATAGACCGCTATAGACTATAAATTCTATAGTATTCCCGCCATTAATAGACATCAGAAAACACGGAACAATTACCATTGAATGAATTCCAGGTACGAAATTTATAAAATATTCAAACTCATATAATATACTAAGATAATTTGGTACTTTAGAAAATCTTTGTAAATTCAGAACATTTTTTTTAGTTCAAAAAGTTATTTCCAAAAGCCTGCAAATTACGAGTTCGTAAATGTTGTTTTTCGGAGTTTCCTACAGAGGGCGGCAAAGAAGGTTGGCCGCGATGGCGGCGGTGAAGTCAAAAGTTGAGGCTAGTATTACAAAGAAAGATGATAATACGAGTTGTGATAAAAAATCGAAACAATTGGGTCTACAAATGTTTGAACTTTGTTTGTCTGCAATTTCTCTGTGTACTTTTATTGCAGATTTCAGCACTGGTGAGTGTTCATTCAAGGACAGCACTTTCAACTACAACTCCTAAGCAGTGCTCATATCACAAAATAAAAAAGAATAATTCGCTATTAAGTGTTCGAAAATAATCTCTCTTTATGCTGAGCTATGACGAATTTACAGAATGTGTTTTTATGGCACATCTTTCCTCTTATTAGGACTTAACAACTACAGTACTCAGACAAATATTACACTGTATTGTATTTTTTTCCTTTTATTGCAGATGTTATTGTAGTAATCAGCTATTTTCATTATGGAAAAATGTATTGGGCAATTATTACCCTTTTGTTTATAATAGTGCCAGCCATCATAGTACAACTTTTCAGTATGCGATGGTACATTACTGATGACAAAGCTCATTGGTATCATTGGCTAACACATGCATTTCTTCTTGGCGTTCTTCACAGGTAATTGGAAACACTGCTAGCTTTTACCTTGGTGATACATTAAATTATTCATTATGCAAAAGAAATATTTCATTCCAGTGAAACATTGGGAAAGCAAGTAATAAAACAATTTTGTTGAGAAACTATGAAATGTGAATTTAAAGATTGGAAAATGTATTATGTTACTGTTGCTTTAATATTTTTTCTAACAAAAGGCAAATGAAGTAGCCAGAATTTGACATACTATCTGTTTATTCTAGTGTGTAGAAGTATCGTTAGTTTTCTTTTGACACTTCAGAGAAATGAAACTCCAACCATAATATATATTGTATAATTTTGACTTCATGTGTAGGTATGTTGAAGTTTTGAAGACTGGTGTTGAATCTTGGTCTGGTGCAGATTTCAACGATGTACAACGTTTGTACCATCAGTGGAATGATGTTTGCTTGTTGCATCTTTTTGAATCTTTCATGGAATCAGCTCCTCAATTATTAATACAAATTTATATTATGATAAATCTTGAAGATTGGTGGAGTTGGACTGGTAAGTAATGTTAATATACTGTAAACAAATAATTTATTTTATTTTTAGTATTGGGGACATTTGTCACAATTTGTGTATTGACATTTGTGTTCAAACTTCTTTTTTCCTTTTTTTGTTTATTTTATCTTTCATTTTCTGCATGGTCTTTGGTGATAGAAAGTACAGACTAATGCATGTGAATTACAGTTACATTTATGATTTCCAGTTTTTACAAATTTCTATTATTAACTTTCTGTTATTTTACTTTTAAATTTTACTTTAAAAAATATGTTTAACCATTTTCTTTTCCATTCCATTATGTTTTATATATTTTCTGTTAAGTTTATACACTGTTTTTGCACTATGGTCTTGTTGTCTAAGAGACAAAGTGTTAGACTGTAATATTAAGTTAAATTTCAAGAAACCTTAGAATAGGAATTCACATGTCAAGATAATGGAGTTGCTTGTTGAGACTGGGTTGTGTGGAGGGATTGTTGAGATTTGAGAATGTTGAGATAGTTGTGATGAAGGGCTTTATAATATCTATAAGTGTCTAGCAAGTGACAGTTCATGTGAAATTGTATGTGGGATTGTCCGCTTTAAAAGTAGGTAAAACAATAGACTTAATTTGTTTATTATTATCTGTTCTTTAAATATCATAAAAAAAGTGAATATACCAATCTGGTGTGGAAAAGATGTTGAGCAGTCATACATAATGTACTAGCAAAACATGTGAAAAAACATGTGTGTAATTCTGTGGTGCTTTAGCTGCAGTTCCTGGTCAATGGATTTATTTCAGACCTATGGGTGGGGTGCAAATTCAAGCTCCGGAGTACTTTGAATATAAAGTTCATGTATAGTAAACTTGCCACCCTGATATCATGCTACTGCCTGCGGTCAGCCTTCTGCTGTGACTGATCTAATAAGTAAGTCTTCTGCAGTGACTGACATCTTTTCTAAAAGGATAAGAGGATAGTCTGTCCTCTATGCCATTTCAGCTTAAAAACAAGTCCATCGATGAATCAACATGCACTTGACATGTTCTGGACATGTGTAAGAGTTGGGTATGTTCACAGGTGCTTAACAGTACTAGTTCATTTTTATTACATTCTCTAGAGAATATTGATGTTTTCTAGCACATTTTCCTGGTGATATATATTTTTTTACAAAAAATAATGGGGGTGAAGGAAGTTCCTCCAGTTATGTTGTTATTACTGTTCTTTCCATTATTTGCTATAGGATCTGGTAAAATATCTATAACCCTATAAGCCAGACCTGTACCTATAAGGTTTCATTATATTCATTTTATGGATATTCCAAGTCCACAAATGAGCAAATGAGCTCATAATGTAAAGAAACAGCATAAGTATTAGATACTTGTGAGCAGAATGAAATATAAAAGAGAATAGTGTGAAGCTTATTATAGAATGATGCTTTAAGCAGCAAAGTAATAATTTAATAATATAAGTAACATAATAATCTAGAAATAAAAGCATCTAAGCAAGCCAGCATTGTACGTAATGGTGTCATGTCAAATTCCATGTTATGAATTTCTCCAGGAGAGAGAGATCCTAACAGTTCAAGGTGATAATGTAACAGTTGGAAAATGGATTGTTGAGTTTGTAGTTACCTCTAAAACATTCACAATCTGGAGGGTCCACAATTAGTTCTCTCTGAAGAGTCTCAATTAAAAGTTAATTCTCCCTTTTCCTGCCATGTCCAAATATTTTTCTTAAGATCATTTTGTTTGTATTTTGGTCAATCTGAATTCCATTTTCCATCTTTCACTTGACAATAGGGTTGATAAAATCAACAAAGGTTTTGTCTATGCATTATATGGGATTATCTAGTACAAGTCATCTACTTGCAATTTGTTTGCCTTTAATATCTTTATGCCTAGGGAATTAAATAGACCATTTTTTAGAAAAAGAGGGAAAAGTATGTAGATATAGGAAAATCAGAGTGGAGTATATACTGGCAAACGATTGGTCATGTCAAAAAATGCATTTATGTTGAGCCTTAATCCTGGCAGAAGGAAGGAGTGCTGTATTGCCAAGGCAAATAGTAGTAGGGTAAAGTAACATCCCTTAAAATGCCATGTGTAGTTATGAGCACTTTATATGTCTTTTTCTAAACAGAGCAGCAATAATTGCCACTTCTGAGGTGCTAGTAATGAAGAATCAATTATTTTACATAGTTTGTTTCTGATTGGTTTGTATTTTCTGAATTCTTGGATATTATAGGCAAAAATTTCAAGAGGGGAATAGGGTCTATCAGGTAGTAAAGAAAAACATAAAACAGTTGATAAAGACATCTTTCATTCCACTTTTGTATTCTAATCCTAATATCATTTTTTCAATTATCCCTATTATGAACATGACTCAGACATACATATTGACCATGCAACTTTTCTCGACTGATTGATTGAGAAATTGAGGTCGGGTGAAGCTATTAGTTACAAAATCAACCTCTTTTAGTTTTTGAAGCGATGCTTCAAAATCAAATCAAATTCAAATCTACATTTTACTGCAATGCATGAAGTTTATTTCTTGACCTGAGAAGCGTACTGAATTTGTTTTGCCCAGAGGGTCGAATCTTGTTTTATTAAAATGAATTCCTTCTTATTAATTGTATCAGTGTAAGTAATGAGAAAAACTTTTTAAAGACAGAAAATATTATATATCAATCTTTAACTCAAAGATATGCGGAACGTTGGTGAAAATAATAAAAAGCAATGCAGTTGCATAGAGTGTGATAGATTAGTCTCCTTGATTTTTGTTTTTCACTTGATTTTTCTGGGGAATTTAAAGGATTAATTGCTCTTTTAATGTTTATTCTTCGTATCATTGAAATACTTACTTCAGTCTAAGTAAAGGTCTGATCCAAAACATTACTTAGAGAATACATCAAAATCATGTTCCCTTTTTCCAATTCGCATGCATTGGCAACTTTCTCAATAATTTTTTATTTGCTCTTTGCAGCTGCTTTTATAACTTTCTTTCTCAGGAGTTTGAGGTGTCTCCTATGAAGAACTTGAACTTACCTCGGTTGTTTCTTTAGAATTTTTTGTTGTAGTTCTTGAGAAAAAACAAACACAAACAGTTCTCATCTGCAATGGCAAATTAACCACACCAATAATGTGTTTGGAATGTTGTCATCAGTGTTTGCTGCAAGCTTTTATGTTCTCCAGTTTGTTGTACCAGGCCTTTGGTCAAGAGAAGTAGCACAGATAATACTACTATAGATTGCCCGTAATAATTAGGAACTAACTTTTTATAGCATAATGCTATAAGATAAAACTATTGTGGTGTATTCTTTTCATTTTCATTTTTTAACATTCTTTAGCCTTATTCAAATACCACATACTGTCAAAGATTTAGAAAGAACTAGTGAAATAAGTCTCGGGCAGACATTTGATTCTTACATTATATTGTGATTACATTTTGTAATAAAAAATCGATTACTTTTTGCCCAACTTTGAAAGTGTAGGTATTAATAGGTAGTTGCAAGCTAAAGTAGGCTAATTAAAATAAAATTATATTTATCCTTGACGTCCAAAACTGGAGGCAAAAATCCTCTATTTCATTAAATGATAAATGTAAGTAAAGTGAATATTTCCCAATACTCAAGATCTAGTCATAAGAAAATAAGTTCTGCAGTTCGTGCAGCATGTTAGTAATATTAATGCAATCAAGTATGCTGAGATGTTGTGAGCCCAATTCAGACAAGTGGCAAGCGATACGTCAAGTAAAGGTGAACTCAGTGACCCAAGATGTGAAGGAAAGGAAGAGACTCGTCAGTTTCTTCTGTAGCTTTTACTTCATAAAGCTTATTAAAAATGTGATTTAAACCAGGCTGGTTGAGTGTTTCTTGATAAGGAGCCTTGTAGCTGTTTGATTTCAACGTTGGAAACTAAATGTGAGGGTCATTATAATAATTGTGTGTCTGGTTGCATCTTCGTTGATATTAACCACAATGATTGTGTTTTTATTAGTCTATAAAACATTGTGAAACAATTTTTAAAGCTGTCTTATAATGTGAATTTGTCAGCTATAAGTGATATAAATTTTTTCTGACTTTCAAAAACAGCTAAGATTACTTTTCCAATTTTTCCAGTTTCCAGTTTCATAATCCATCATAATAGAAATGTATGAATTTTGCTTGTTGATAGCAATTGAAAAATTGAATATTGTTGTGATGGTAATGACCAATGTCTTCTCTAATTTTTCAATATCTTGTCATATTGAAATATTGATGAGGGGAGTATTTAAATAATTCAAAATCCAACTGATAGACTTTATAAACCTCTCTTAAGAGTTCTAATGGCACACTAGAATAGTATTTCTCAATTATTTGATGGTCTGTGGTTCCATTGGTGTTCATATTGACAGTTTTTGGATAATGGTCTGCAAGGTGAAGGGAAGTAAGAACTTGTTTAAGTTCTTCACTAAGAAATTCAGTTTTTAGTATGAAATTATAATCTAAGAGACATGGTGCACATTGTATAAAATAGGGACGCCAGTGCTCATCAGAAGGATATCTTTTGACAATAGCCTTTAAGAAGTCCACAAAAGTAGGTTCTACTTGTTTTTCTGGATATCCCAGCGATTGCACGATATGTTTCCCAAACTTTTGATAGTAATATTCCCGCTTCTCTCTGTGTTCCAATTTGTCTCTGTAGGCTGACAAGAGTCTTGCAAACGGATGTCTCACCACCAGCAATCTGTTGCTGCTTTGAACAATCTGCCGAGAGAAAAAAACAATGAATATTTCAATAAGAATGTAGTTTGTATTAGTTTCAGTCTAATTTTTGTCTTTTGTGCAATTGTGAAAGTACATCACCTAATTGTCTCGATTTTCATGTACCAATTCTACTTGTGATTGTAAGAAGAAACATTCATATTATGAAGATCCTAGATCTAGGTTTTTGTTCCCCAATTGTAGATAAAATCTAGTGATAGTGAAATTGTACGTATGAGTCAATCCATTTTAAGTAGTCCAGAATTTAATAAATAGGTCGCTCGATCAT